AGTGCAGAGGATAAGCATAGATGTTCTCGAAACATGAAGAAAACTAGTTGCTTTAAGTATGAGGTGCATATGTGAGGATAGATGTCTTAGTCTGTTCAGGTTTCTATAACAAAATACCATAAATTAGGTGGTTTGTAACAACAGAATTTATTCCACACAGTTTAAGAGCCTAAAAAAATTTATAATGTGGGGAATTCTCCAAACATAAGATTGATCAAAAGATGCTAAATGGCCATAAAAATAAATGAGGACTATATATACTACTGTGGAGTTATTTCAGGATTTAATTGCTAACGTATAGTTTCCAAAAATTTGAGAATATGACTTGTACAAATATAAAATGAACATGTGTCAGTATTTTATTCAAGTCATCAATTGATAAGGGATCAGTAAGATATTAAAACTGGTTCAAATAAGAATTGAAATGACAGTTATTTACATTCTCTATTCAGTAGAATCTACTAGACAGAATTCACTTGCATTGCTATGTACAGGAATCATCTGCACAGTTATTCATTTTTTAAAAGATTTTACTTATTCATTTGTCAGAGAGAGAGAAAGGAAAGAGAGCACAAGCAAGGGGAGTGACAGACAGAGGGAGAAACAGGCCCACCGCTGAGCAAGTTGCCTGATGCCGGACTCGATCTTGGGTCCTGGGATCATGACCTGAGCCAAAGGCAGACACTTAACCGACTGAGTAACGCAGGCATCCCTAGTTATTAATTTTTTACAACCTAACTCTCCTTACAGAGTTGTAAAATAGCCTAGTCAATATAAAGTCCATCAAAGTTGTGCACTCATAAAATCACATAATCCTTCCTCCTGCCCTCAGGGTCTACTTGACAATGTCCAGACTCTTTTGCCTATTTCTAAGTATTGAAAAATTTTCTTAATACAATGTTAAGTGGAAAAAACCAAGGTGGAGAAAAATATGTATATTATATTACCTTCCACTTAAGAAAGGAGGGATACTAATATATTTGCATATTTTCTTATTTTTTAAAATGGGAAGATAAACCATAAATTGTTTAAATGGGTACCTATTATCAAGGGAGGAAGGGAGTCGTGTAGAGAGGACAAAACTACAAGCTAGACTTCTTTGAATATACCTCATTTTGCTGATTTGGCTTTGGATCCACATATATGTTTTACATAATTATAAAACAAAATTACATAAATTTAAAAAGTGTCTCTAAAAATCAGAAGTAAAACGAGGGGTGCCTGCGTGGCTCAGTCATTTAAGCGTCTGACTCTTGATTTTGGCTCAGGTCTTGATCTCAGCGTTGAGAGATAGATCCCCACATCAGGCTCTGCAGTGGGCATGGAGCCTGCGCAAGATTCTCTCTCCCTTTCCCACTGACCCTCTCTCCCCTCCCCCGTGCATGCACTCTCTGTCTCTCTCTCTCTCAAAACAAGAAAAAATCAGAAGTAAAATGAAACAAATGAACTTAACTGGGTATACAGGTGGTGGCATAACCATACAGGGAACTATTCCAGGTGACTTAAAACAAAATGATCGGCTTACATCCTTAGCTGAATATGGCCTGAGTGGGGGAGGGGGAATCTGTCCCCCTCTAAGATCTTAAAATTATTCTCAGTAATAATCTTATTGGTGGTAGGCTTGGTATTGTTATTATAGAATATTATTGGATAAATTAAATGAGTATGTTGATGTATTTTTTAAAGATTTTATTTATTTATTTGAGAGAGAGAGAATGAGAATGAGAGAGAAAGCACATGGGGGGAGGGTCAGAGGGAGAAGCAGACTCCCTGCCAAGCAGGGAGCCCGAGGCGGGATTCCATCCAGGGACTCCAGGATCATGACCTGAGCTGAAGGCAGTTGCTTACCCAACTGAGCCACCCAGGCGCCCTATGTTGATATTTTTAAAGAACTGAAATTTTCAGCATGTTTGAAAGAGATATAGATGAAAGATTAGTGAAATTAGATAAAAACTCCATAGCTTTGAATTTGAGTTTGAAGTATCAGTGTGAGCTTGGGATTTATTTAATCTATATAATAATTATATATAATATACATAATAATTATATAATATGTGATTCCCTAGCTCTGTCTATTGAAAGCTTAGAAACAATGGTCGATCTGGTTCAGTGACATTCCTGGTGCCTAGATTATGTATTTAAACATCATTTCCACTAAAAGGAACCAGATCCCCTTGGAGAAATGGCTGATTCCAGGTCTAGGGCAGAAATTGTTCAAAATAAGCCTACAATGGCTTGTCATACTAGAAAGAAAAGAACCTATTAAAGAGTACGAATGTCCTGCCAAATATTGAGACTCAAGCACTCAGGAGACAATCTGAATAAGTTTCCACTGCCCGAAGGTGAGACAATATGAGTATCAATAAAGATAAAACTGTAATGGATCAAAACACATCAAATATGGTTAAATCCATGAATTCATAATGACACAAAAGTAGCTCAGTGTTTTGTAATGTATGGATCTGATTTGGATCTCAATTCAAACAAGCTATTTTTAGAAATGTATTAAGACAGGAGAATGTGAATACTGACATGTTTGATGGCATTAAGAAATTATTGTTTAATTTATTTCAGATGTGATAATGGTATTGTAGTTACATTTGTTTAAGATTCTTTATCTTTTAGAGATACACACTGGACTATTTATATAGGGAATAATCTGATGTCTAGGATTCACTTCAAAATAATATGGATAGTGTGAGTGTAAATAAAACAATATTGGTCAGGTATCGATAACTTGAAGCAGGATAATGGTTTTATGGAGGCTCATTTCACTATGATCTCTACTTGTATATATGTTTAAAATATGTAAAAAAGATTCTTTTAAAGCTAAATGACTACAAACCTGAGAATGTCTACTACAGAATAGAAGATTCAACATTATGACATTGAGTCTCCCCAAATTTATATACATATGTATGTATTACATATATAGCAATTCAATTATATACATAGCAATTCAATATAAATATAAATATAGTAATTCAAATAAAAACTGACAGAATTTTTCAGAAAACTTGATAAACTGATTTTAAAAATTCATGTGATGAAGTTAACATGCACAAAATGCTAAGACAACTTTGAAAAAGAAAAACAAACATAAGAGTCATAGGGGTGACTTGTCCTACTAAACATCAAGAGATATAAAAAGCGGGGGGTGGAGGGAGGGGTTAGCCTGGTGATGGGTATTAAAGAGGGCACATTCTGCGTGGAGCACTGGGTGTTATGCACAAACAATGAATCATGGAACACTACATCAAAAACTAATGATGTAATGTATGGTGATTAACATAACAATAAAAAATTTAAAGAAAAAAGAGATATAAAAAGGTCTTTTAATTAAAACTGTGTGGTATTGAAACAGCAATAGAGAAAAGCAGATCAGTGAGCTCAGAAATTGACCTATGTATATATGAGAATTTGGTATATGCTAGAGGTTTCCCAACACAATGGGAACAAATTAAGTAAACTCCCTACTTTGCATCATAAACAAAAACTAAATTCCAGATGAAATAAAGACCTAAAAGCAATAACTATTAGAAAGAAAAATATAATACTCTAAAACTATGAGAATTAGGTGAGTGTATGTTTTTTACATTGGAATGAAAAACATTTTCTTTTTTTTTAAGATTTTATTTATTTATTTGACAGAGAGAGACACAGTGAGAGAGGGAACACAAGCAGGGGGAGTGGGAGAGGGAGAAGCAGGCCTCTCGCCAAGCAAGGAGCCCGATGTAGGGCTCGATCCCAGGACCCCGGGATAACGACCGGAGCCGAAGGCAGATGCTTAATGACTGAGCCACCCAGGTGCCCCTGAAAAACATTTTCTTAAATGAAGCCAAAAAAAGCATATATCATAAAGTAAAAGTGAATAAATTTTTCTACATCAACATTGTGAAATTTCATATAGAAAAAATCAATATGTTAGACCCCTTGAAAGACTGAGGAAGACATTTTTAGTATATAGACTTGTCGAAGATTAATAGCCAGAATATATATATATAAAGCAACTACAAAACACTGAGAAAAAGCAACAATTCATTAGAAAAATGAAAACATATGAACAGACATTTCACAGAAAACTCCAATGGTCCATAATGAGTGAAAAGATGCTCAACCTCATTAGTAATGAAGAATACACAAATTATTAAAAATGCTAGTTCATCTTGCCCCTGCTCCACCCAGCTAACCACTCTAGCACTTAGATGTACCTAGGCCTATTTTCTTTCCATGAATATGCTAACAAATATTACTATCAATAAAGATATTTTGAGGGGTGCCTGGGTGGCTCAGTCGGTTGAGCGTCTGCCTTCGGCTCAGGTCGTGATCCCGGGGTCCTGGAATTAAGCCCCACATCGGGCTCCCTGCTCAGCAGAGCCTGCTTCTCCCTCTTGCTCTGTCTCTCCCCTCGGCTTGTTCTCTCTCTCAAATGATAAACAAAATCTTTATTTTTTTTTAAAGATTTTATTTATTTATTCATGAGAAACAGAGAGAGAGAGAGAGAGGCAGAGGGAGAAGCAGGCTCCCTAGGAGCAGGGAGCCCGATGCGGGACTCGATCCCAGGACCCTGGGATCATGACCTGAGCCGAAGGCAGACGCTTAACCATCTGAGCCACCCAGGCGCCCAACAAATAAAATCTTTAAAAAAAAGATATTTTGAATTGATGAACCAAAGAATAGTTGAGAAAGAATGAGACAACAGTAATCACAGATGGTTACAGATTTTTGGAGGAAATTCTGGAGGAAACTGGGATTTCAGGGGCTTAATCCAAATTTCTTCATAACTAAATTTTTCCATCTGAAAATTGGTGTTTTGAGGTAAAGCGAATCATCCAAATTGTGCTCCTATTTTGCTGAGTTTGTTCTACTGATCGGCTCCACTGGGGTGCTTTTTGGTGGCTTACTGTACCCACTGTACCCTCCAAAACCAGAGGTTTGAGGGCCAGAAGATAGCTGATGGGGTTAGATTTTTAAATGAAACTGAAATGAAAGTTCACTTCCTCATTGTGGATACCTCATGTGACAAGCCTGGTATCTTTTTAAAGTCAGTGTGACTAAAGACCCTCTCTGCTGCCTTCAAACCTTTGGAGAGGGCTTGCCTTCCCGCATTCATAGTATGGGAGCACCTGCCGGTTCTATGATGTACGTACTGTCTGGTCTTTTTCTACCGCTTGGTCTTTAAACCCTCCGTTTGTGTCTTTAGCTTGCCGTGCCTGCCAGGCTTTAAACTGTTGGTTTCAGGAAGTAAACGAAAATATTGTGCCGCTCAATTTGCCTCTTGTTTTTTTGACTAAAGAAAATCTTTTTTGAAAAGTTAAATGTCTGTTTGCACATCTAAACCTGGGGCTGAAACATAGCTTTTTTTGGAATATAATCTGAAGATTTACATGGCTGAACTTGCAGCTGTTTTGAATTTAAAAGAATCAGAAAAGAAAGTAGAATCCAGTTTGAGGGAGGTAGTCACTGAATTCTGTTCAAGTCTTTTTGCATTAAATATAGAAGTGGTGTTTTCAAAAGTACTTAAGTGCTTCCTTTGAAATAGATATTTCGATTATTAGAAAAACTGGTTAAAAAATAAAATGACTCTAGGATTTGAAAGCAATATATGGGAGGTGTCTTTCAATTACCTCTGAACAATGTGGATACTTAAATAGACCAATTAAGAAGAGCCCATGTATTCAAAAATTATGCAGATAAACTGATTTTTCAAAGGTTTGCCCCTTGAGAATGGTGGGGGGTGATTTCCCTTGATTAGATTTGTTGGCAAATCCTGTGAAGTCCCTGCCTCCCTCTCCTACCCAGTTCCCCCTACTTTGGATGAAAGTTTGGCATACCAGGTATCAGGAAATTTCTGAAAATCACTTTCTAAAGTGCTACTAAGTATTGGAAGTGGTATTCCAGTCATAAATCTACAGGTTACTCCTTGTGACAATAAATCCCAGAAAGTTTCCTGTATAATTCTGATTTGTATTGTCCTTTTGACAGACTTTACAGTGCTTTTTTTTAATGTAAAAATTTGGTCACAATATATGCAGATAATAGCTACTCTTCTTATGTTACCTTTCCTTTAACAGAAGGAAATGGCTGGTTTGCATGCTCCTGGCGTGCTCCTGTGCACAGGCACAGGTACATAAAGATCCCACTCTGGACCATCACTGGAATCTTTGGAAGAAAACCTATGGCAAACAATACAAGGAAAAAGTACGTGGGATTGTTACTTGGACAATTTGCTTTTGCTCGAGTATCCTATGCTTTCTCCCCCTCAAAATTATATTCTTACAAGCAATGTTTTCAATAAATGTTTACGCACTCATTTCTTGCCAGATTCTATTCTTGGTACCAGAGATATAGCAGGAAACAAAGTTCCTGTTTTTGTGGAGCTCATATGATAGCAGGGGAGACAGGAATTAAGTAAATAAATAAGCAGATATATAGTATGGTAGGTGGTGACAACTGCAGTAGAGAAAAATAAAGCAGGGCATGGGGGTCTAGCGAGACCTAGATCTGGAGGGCTCTGGGAGATGGCTGTGAGGGGCTGGAAGTGATTATTCTTTATATACAACAGAAAGCTCAGGGAAGTACCCTCATCAAAGGTGACACGTGAGCCAAGAATTCACAGAAACCAGGGAGCAAACAAAGTTGTAATGGGAATGCAGGTTCCAGGTTAAGGGGGATAAAGTACATGTTTGGGGACAAAAAGACCTATTTCAGTCCCTGGGCATAGAAGCACTACCAGATGTTGTTTTTTGACTTTCAATTCCCATGGTGTACTTTTGTTTTTATTTCGATGCATACTTATTGATTTTTTAAAAGATTTTATTTATTATTTGACACATAGAGAGAGAGTGAGAGAGAGAGCAACAAGTGGGGGGAGCTACAGGCAGAGGAAGAGGGAGAAGCAGGCTCCCCGCTGAGCAAGGAGGGCTCCATCCCAGGACCCTGGATCATGACCTGAGCTGAAGGCAGATGCTTAACCGACTGCGCCACCCAGGTGTCCCGGTTAAGGTCTTAAAAATCAGGAAATATATGGGGCACCTGGGTGGCTCAGTCGGTTAAGCATCTGCCTTTGGTTCAGGTCATGATCCCGGGGTCCTGGAATCGAGCCTGAGCCCCCTGTTGGGCTCCCTGCTCAGCAAGGAGTCTGCTTCTCCCTCCTCCCTTGCTCCTCCCCCACGCTCATTCTCTCTCTGTCAAGTAAATGAAATCTTTTTTTTAAAAAAAAGACCTTAACCCTAGCACTTCAAATAACTGAGTCTTATAACTACATACTATTTCTGAGTTTGGGGGTGCCTGGCTGGCTCAGGAGACTCTTAATCACAACTCTTATTCTCAGGGTCGTGAATTTAAGCCCCATGCTGGGCGTGGAGCCTACTCAAAATAATATTTCTGAGGGGCAGCTGGCTGACTCAGTCAGTGGAGCATGTAACTCTTGATCTCGGGGTTGTGGGTTCGAGCCTCACGTTGGGTATAGATTACTTAAAAATAAAATCTTTAAGATATATATATCTCTGACTTTGTAAGCAAGAATTATGTATTAACTTCTTTGATACATTATTTTTGTATAAAAATGACACTTTTAGTAGGATGTGCACTGAGTTGTTTTCTTAGTAGTGATGAATTTTACCCTCATCCAATCCCCTTTAGAAACAAGCCTCTAATTTCAAGGTTAACCAGAGTAAGTTGTTCAGTTAGCACCACTATCTGGTTAGATGAATACTATCTCTCTTTTTAATGATTCCGGTCCCTTGGAAGGAATGAAAATAACTTTTGATTAGTATTCTACTTTTATAATTTATTTCAAAGTTCAAATAACATAATGCTTTTGCACACTTAATAAACTATAGTATAGTGTAAATGTGACTTTTATATGCATGGAGAAACCAAAACTTTTATTTGACTCACTTTACTGTGGTATTTGCTTTACTGCAGTAGTCTGGGGCTGAGCCTACAGTAGTTTTTAGATATGCCTGTGACTATGTTCTTCTTCCTTACGTTTTAGAACGAGGAAGTAGCAAGGCGTCTTATCTGGGAAAAGAATCTAAAATTTGTGATGCTTCACAATCTGGAACACTCAATGGGAATGCATTCATATGATCTAGGCATGAACCATCTGGGAGACATGGTAAGTAAATTACAAATAATCCTACTTTCATCTCTGGGTACGCATGATTTCCATCTCCCCAAAGGCAATCTGAAGGTAAACAGCAAAGGAATGTGTGTGTGTACAAAGTTAGAAAACAGTAGAATTTAAGGACATAAGAATTTGCAGATTCCTTGTTTAGTCCTACTGTGACCACTTTCCTTACTAATTTTTTTTAGAGGCATACTTGAAACTCAGAGGCTAGTATTGCTTTTGTTTTTTATTAATTCTAGAAAGCACTGCCCAAAGAGTACTCACAATCTTTTAGAGTAAGTTACCATACTTATGTACATCTGAACTGATAATTCAGTATGATCCACCTGCCTTCTTAATGAGAGAGTGTGGGTATTTAATATCACAAATACTCTTGTTAGTTTTTAAATTTTTTTCTACCCTACAAAATTTTACTGTTGAGGCCAAAATTAAGAATCATAGTACCTCTTGGAAGAGAACACCCTGGGTAGATTAAATTTCTACCTAAATGCAAGCATCTTCTTTGTAATTCTTTCTCACAAGGAAAACCAGTTCAGTCCACTTTTTAGACAGCCCTTGTATAAAATTCTGCCTTGCTTTAAACCAAAAATCTGCCTTCCTGTAACTTCTAGTTTTTATCACTTTCTTCTTCTTCCCAATGCCTAAATGGTTGCTAGGACAGAGTGTGAAAGAGACCCAGATAATTCACCTATCAGATACTTAGCAATACCTATGTTGGTCACAACTACCACTAGTTTTTCTAGGTTGTTAAATTTATTCACAGTTACAGTTATTAGAATATTGAAAAGAAGGTCATAAGTAAAAGGAGATATATATATATTTGTCTTGTAGACCAGTGAAGAAGTGATATCTTTGATGAGTTCCCTGAGAGTTCCCAGCCAATGGCAGAGAAACATCACTTACAAGTCAAACTCTAATCAGAAATTGCCTGATTCTGTGGACTGGAGAGAGAAGGGGTGTGTTACTGAAGTGAAATACCAGGTGAGTATTGTTATCTCAGGCTTCTGTACACCCGGAAGAGCTCTCTCTTCTGTCAATACTTAGTCCAGCTACCTAATTTGGCAGCAGAATCTCCCTAATGTTATTTCTAATGATTTTTGTTATTCGTGTCTTCCCAACTAAATTGTAAGCTCCTTGAGGACAATGTCCACATATCATACTTTATTTGTATTCTCCACAGTTTAGTCCTTGTTTAGTCCTGCTGTGACCACTTTCCTCAACAAATTTTTTAGAGGAATATTTGAAACTTGCGGGCTACTATTGCTTTTGTTTTTTTATTAATTCTAGAAAGCCTTGTCTGAAGATTACTCACAATCTTTTAAAGTAAGTTACCATACTTACATAAATCTAAATTGATAATTAGAATACCAATGGTTAGAGCCACATTAGACAAAACTGTGAACTGAGCAAATATGTTTCTTTAAGACAGATTTTTAGTGCTCATACTATCGATCAACTGCACTGGACCTTCCACCAAGCCAATTGCCTGAGAAACAGTATTGTGTATGTGAGAGAATATTGATCAGGAAGTTTCTCCCTACATTTCAGGATTGAAGGAGAGGGAAAACCCAGAGCTGAGAGTGGCCTGTAAATTGTACCAGTCAACTCATGACTAGGCTTGCATTGTTACAGTAAGAAATACAGTGTGGGTTTTATAAATTTGTTCCTATGTTTTTGTATTTCCTTTAGTTCGCTTTAAGGGGTGCCTGGGTGGCTCAGTTGGTTAAGCATCGGACTCTTGATCTCAGCTCAGGTCTTGATCTCAGTGTTGTGAGTTCAAGCCCCATGTTGGACTCTATGCTGGCCATGGAGACTACTTTAAAAAAAAAAGTGGCAAAAATCCTAAATAAGGGTAAAACACATGTATCACCTTATAGATGAGGGTAAGGGAGAAGAAGCCGAGTGTTCTGAGCATCTGCCCCAGCTGGTAACCAATGAAGAAAGTAAACATATATTTTTATTTTTATTTATTTATTTATTTAATTTACTTTTTTAAAAGATTTTATTTATTTATTTGACAGAGAGATAGAGAGAGGGCACAAGTAGGCAGAGTGGCAGGCAGAGGAAGAAGGAGAAACAGGCTCTCCGCTGAGGAGGGAGACTGATGTGGGGCTCTATCCCAGGATCCTGGGATCATGACCTGAGCTGAAGGCAGACACTTAACCAACTGAGCCACCCAGGCGCCCCTTTTATTTATTTATTTTTAAAGATTTTATTTACTTATTTCAGAAAGAGTGAAAGCGAAAGAGAGTAAACATATTTTTTAAAGAATTAATTAATTTATATTTGAGAGAGAGCCCAGGTGTGGGGAGGGGCTGAGGGAGAGGGAGAAGCAGAATCTCCACTGAGGAGAGTGCCTGACACAGGGCTCCATCCCAGGACTCTGGGATCACGACCTGAGCCAAAGGCAGACGCTTAACTGACTGAGCCACCTAGGTGTCCCAAAAGTAAAAATTAAGAAGTGAATGGTACTGCTAATATCTTATTCTGTTCTTCCTAGATATTTTTCTTGCAATTTCTAGTTTCTTACTAGAACTTGGCTGGCTCAGTCAGTAGAGCATGCAACACTCAATCTCAGGGTCATGAGTTCAAGCCCCATGTTGGTCATGGAGGCTACTTAAAAAAATAAGAAAATAAAAGTTTGGGAAGATCCAGTAAAGTACACATTTAGGTATTAAATATAAACAATCTAATGGAGCTCCTTTCCCTGGATGCTTGCATTTTAATGGGTGATTTTGCTTTAACCAAAAGCAAATTCAATTTGCTTCCTTTGGGTAGAGAGCAAGGTGGAATGAAGGAAGAAGTGAAGAGAACAATTATGATAAGGCTCTGGATCTTTTTTAACTAAAGCAGCTTTGTGTTTTTCTGTTTGTTTATGCTTCCCTGTAAACTATCTTTGATCAAAAAATTATGAAGCTAAAAATGTGTGGAAAAAGGGACACCTGGGTGGCTCGGTCGTTAAGCGTCTGCCTTCGGCTCAGGTCATGATCCCAGGGTCCTGGGATCGAGCCCCGCATTGGGCTCCTTGCTCTGCAGGAAGCCTGCTTCTCCCTCTCCCACTCCCCCTGCTTGTATTCCCTCTCTCTGTCAAATAAATAAAATCTTTAAAAAAAAAAAGTTTGAGAATATTTAACCATATATTTTCAGGCCTTATTTGACAGGAGAAAAGGTATTTTAGGTCAAGAGCTCCTCTCAAAATCACTGTACTGTAGATGACTATCTACCTTACTTATGGGTGAAGATAGCTGGGATCTAGTGCATGCTCAGTAGGTACTGTTTCTTAATATATTTGATTATGGCAATTATGCTCTGAGCTCAGCCATTTGCAAATGTCTCTCAATATAGGACCTTGCTCAGAGAATAATCAAGTATTTCATCTTCATGCCCATGTCTAAGAAATGAAGAAACTGTAGTGCGGGGAGCTGTTCCTGTAACAACCGACAGAACTGACATGTTGGGAGGTACCCAGTTTGTGTTATGGAAGTCCTCCTTCCCTACTCTCTGATTACCTTTGTGACCTTGTCTCTGTTTTAGGGTGCTTGTGGTGCTTGTTGGGCTTTCAGCGCTGTGGGGGCCCTGGAAGCACAGCTGAAGCTGAAAACAGGAAAGCTGGTATCCCTGAGTGCACAGAACCTGGTAGATTGCTCAACTGAAAAATACAGGAATGAAGGCTGCCATGGTGGCTTCATGACAGAGGCTTTCCAGTATATTATTGATAACAAGGGCATCGATTCGGAAGCTTCCTATCCCTACAAAGCTATGGTGTGTCACAAGCAAACTTTTTTGGGACTTTATGCTATCCCTTGACTAACTGAATTAAACTCACAACCAAGCCAATCGCTTGAGAAGCAGTGTATGAAAATCCTGATCAAGAATTCTTAAATTTTCAAGAGTTCGCTGCATTAGTCAGTAGTCTTCTTAATTCATCAGTGGCACAATGGTCTTAAACAAGTAGAATTCATGAAAAATGGATTTTCAGTAAACCTTAGATTTCTTTCTGTTCATCTGCTTGGTATTTCAACTTGTTTTTCCTACGGCCTCCCATGCTCAACCTCATTCTCAGATCATCAACCACATCATTCTCCTACCTACTAAAAAGCTAAATAATGCTCTCTTCTTTCTCCTCACAAGTTCATGACATATTTTGTTAAATGAATTAATATATCCATATTACTGAAAATTTAGAAAACATAAAAATACCACTCCAAAACATTCTACCTTAACCACCATTATTTTGGTTTATTTCTTTCAAGTTCTTTGTCCTATTAAGCATTTAAAAAACCATACATGTATGCACAACAAAAGTGAATATTTATAACCTCTCTTTCCTACTAAAATATGCACTCGTAAGTGTTTTTCAGATTATATGGTCTTTATAAACCATCATTATGCACGCATTATATCATCAAAAAGATTTTAAAGAAGTTCTAGTATAGAGTTTATGATCTTTACATAGTATACCCCTACAATCCACCTGAGAGGGACATTATCCAGCAACTTTTGCATGCATGAAGATGTTCACAATTTAAAACAATATAATCATTATGTATTTCCTCTGTTACTGGTGAAACATGGAACTGTTAGGGTTTTGGAAGATTTGATTTTTCTTCCTTTAAAAAGAAGAAGGAACCTTAGGCATCTGAAAGGCTAAATGAGGAAAGAAAGCATATTTGAAATCCAGACTTAGGATGTTGGTAATATAAAGGAAGTTGATTTATACCTTTTTTTGCAGGATGGAAAGTGCAGGTATGACTCAAGAAATCGAGCTGCCACATGTTCAAAGTATACTGAACTTCCCTTTGGCAGCGAAGATGCCTTGAAGGAAGCTGTGGCCAATAAAGGACCTGTGTCTGTTGCTATTGATGCAAAACACTCTTCTTTCTACCTGTACAGAAGTGGTAAAAACTCAGATGTGCTATCTTCTTATTATATGCGGCCCCTGTACCATAAGAAAGAATATTATCCTTCCCCATCACCCCACCTCTGATTGCTCAGGTTAAACAGAATCCTTCATTTCATATATGTATTTTATATCCAGTTCTAATTAGTAAAGTAATACTCAACAAAATTTCCTAGTACTATAGGCCAAGTACTATGATAAATTCTTTCCATGCATTATCTTATTTAATCCTCACAATAACCCTATTTTAGAGATGAACAAGTCTTAGGCAGTTAACTTGCCAAAAGTCATACAGTCTGGAAGTGGTCAGCTAGGATTAGAAACCATGCTACTTTGACTCCAGAGCCTGGGCTCCTAACCCCTGGAGCCACTGTGCACTGTAGGTGCAGCACTGCGGGATACAAGGAGGGCACCCGCCAGTGTTAGAGCATTGTGTTAAACCAAGTAAATGGCTATACTGTTTTATTTAAAAAAAAAAAAAGCCTCACCCAAAGATCATTTCATCTAGTAAAGAATAAAAATATACGGAATAAACTATTTAGGAATATATACAAAGAAATACAGTAACTGACATAACTGACTATCTATAAATTAAAAATGATTAGGAAAAGGGGGCACCTGGGTGGCTCAGTCGGTTAAGTATCCAACTCTTGATTTCAGCTCAGGTCATGATCTCAGGGTAGTGAGATTGAGCCCCATGTCAGGCTCTACACTCAGCACAGAGTCTGCTTGGGATTCTCTCTCTCTCTCTCTCTCCCTCTGCCCCTCCTCTTGCTCGTGCTCACTCGTGGTCTCTCTCTCAAATAAATAAATAAATAAAATCTTTAAAAAATAATTAGAAAAAGGTAGCTGTTTATCAAAGATTTCTGAGGGAACTGTGACTGGATCAATGCCAAACTTGGCAAGAAAACCAATAAATACAGAATTGATGGCAAAGAATTATGAACTCCACATAGTTTAATGAGAGTATATGTTCCTAAAATCATAATTCAACTTGCTTGCCATGTATATAAAACAGTCTACTAAAAGCAATAGCATTTTCAAATGTCCTTATTATCACATACCGTTCACTCTTTTTCTCCACCTATATTTTATTCTCAGGTGTCTACTATGACCCATCCTGTACTCAGAATGTGAATCATGGTGTATTAGTGGTTGGCTATGGTAACCTTAATGGGAAAGACTACTGGCTTGTGAAAAACAGGTAATATATTTGCACTTTAGTGCATATTTAATTAAAATAAGGAATTCGATGGTGCTTCAACAAATGCTTTCCTGTGATGATGATGATTATGATAATGACAATGATAAACATTCATAGCTTCTTATAAAGTAACATTATAAATTAATTACTCAGTGCCCCCATTTCCTCACTTCCTATTCTGGCTTCAGCAGTTTATTTTCATGATTTTTCTTCTAGAATACTTCTCTGACCGTTCCTTCTCAGTCTCCTTTATAAATATCTATTCCTCTGCTTAGCCCCCAAATGTTGGTCTTTCCTCCGGGGCTCCATCCTTTGCCCATTACTCTTCTTAGCCTACACTTTTCTTGTGATTTTAGCCATAACCTATATGCTGATAGCTTTAAAGCTCAAGCTCTAGCTCTATCCTCTGCCCTGAAATTCGGACTTATTTATCTGGACATATCCACTTCCATGTATCTTAGTTTCTCCAAACTCAGTATATTCAAGGAATTCAGTACCCTCTCTACCATATTGTGTCCTTCCCCAGAACTTCCTATCTCACTAAATGGCAACAACATACAACACAGTCACCCAATTAGATACTATAGATTTGTTGTAGGCCAGATCTAATCAAGCAATAAGTCAAACTAATTTCCCACATATCTGTCCTTGCTTCTGTCACCTCTCCATTTCTTCCATTATTGCTTTGGTTCAGACATCTCTTGCCTGGACTATTCCTGTAGCCTTCAAGCTGGTCTCCTTTACTCTCAAATCCATCTTTTGTAAACTGCTTCCAAACTGGTATGTCTCAGATATGACAAACTGGGCTTATAATTGTTCTACAGAGTACCATTTGGTATAAAATTAATGTTCCCTAGTGGAGAAGACAAGTCATCTATGTTGTGGTCCCTGCCTGGCTTGCCAGGCTCAGTTGCTGGCACTTGTCTCACACTTTTCATTCCAGTTACATTGAACTATACACAGAGTTCCCATACATACCATTTTATCTTTAATATCTTCATGTCTTGGTTATGCTGTTCCCTCTGCCGGGAACATTCTTTCTCCTCACTTGGTTTATTTCTCCTTTTCCTTCAAAACCAGCTAAGGCATTCTCTATACCAGAAATTTCCTTCTAAATCCTTGGGCTGGGTAAAATGTCTTTTTTCTACGTTTGCAAAATGTCTTATGTACACTGGAGTATTTTATACATTATATTTAAATTGTATGTTTACCTATCTATGACTAATATTCGGTATGCACCTTTGGGGTAAAGATCTGTATTGTCCTTGTGTCCTTAGCACAATACATGGCACACATAGAAGGTGGTAGTATTTGTATGGCCTATTGGGAAAGTAGTTGAGGAAACAATATCTTGGTTCACTTGTAACCTATTCACAGCACTGATCAGCTTGGGCCTGGACCAGTGATAATGTTTTTATATGAAGCAATGTTTTCACTTACATCTTTTTTCTTGTTGACTTCCTACAGTATGTATTCTAACTTCCCTTCCCTATTGAAACTGCTCTTCTGGAAGACCATTTATATCTTTTAGTGTTTAAATTCAAAACTCCTTCTCAGCACTTACTCATTCAGTGAGCATTTACTAGGCATCTACAATGTGATGGGCATTACCTAGGCCCTGGAAATACAAAAATTAATGAGAAATCATCCTGTCCTAAAAAAAGCTCACATAACAGTCCAGTGGGGAATTAGATATATTTTTAAAACAATAAAACACAACACATCACGGTATAATGATATATGTCTCAATGGCTATGGGGCCATAGATGAGGAGATGCCTAACTGCCTAAAAGTTTCACAGAGAAGGTGCTACTTATTTGCATTAAGTTTTCAGATGAGTGGAATTGTTCATGTGTTAGAGGAGGAAAATAAATGGCCCAATCACCTAAGAAGGATATGCAATGGCACACAAATGTGAAAAATCTCTCGGCTTTATGAACTCTCTACTGCATTTATTTCTTTGGCATCTACGAAATAAGACATAACACTATCCTGACTCATTTTGCTGTATCAGCTTTAGCCTCATTTCTTACTTTCTTCCACCTGTCCCTTATGCTCAAGCTCTAGCTGTACTAACGAATACTCATCTGCAACTTTAGTTTCAACTATTGCCATTATGTGGGTGACAGCCAATTCACAAACTCTAAAAACGATCTCTCTACTAAGCAACAGACTTCCATGTCCAACTTCCAACTTGACAGCTTTGTGAAAAAATCCAAATTTCCAGGTCGCCTGGGTGGCTCAGTCAGTTAAGAAACTGACTCTTGGTTTCAGCTCAGGTTGTGGTCTCATGGGTTTTAAGGTGGAACCTCGGGCCCCCAGCTGCCCTGCCCTCCACACTCAGCAGGGAGTCTGCTTGAAGAGTCTCTCCCTCTGCCCCTCCTGCCACTCACATGTGCTCTCTCTCTAAAAAATAAATAAATCTTTTTTAAAAAATCCAAATTTCCAGGTGCCTGGGTGGCTCAGTTGGTTAAGCATCTGCCTTAGCTTGGGTCATGATCCCAGGGTCCATGGGAGTCCCATGTCAGGCTCCCTGCTCAGTTGGGAGTCTACGTCTCCTTCTGCCCCTCCCTGCTTGTGTTCTCTCTGTCTCTTGCTCCCTCTCTCTCTTAAATAAGTAAAATCTTTAAAAAAATGCAAATTTCCCACCTGCCTACCCTACTGCTACTCACAACACACACACTCTCTCTCTCTCTCAACAAGTCTAAATTCAAATTCCCTCTCTCCTTCCATCTAAACTTTCCTTCCACTCTCCACCCCTGAAAAGTATTTTAGAATAAGCCCAAGGGAAAATAATTCCCTATTTTGAGTAATGCATCACCATCTTCAGGTTATCAAAGCCTTGGTATCATCTTGGACTCTCCTTTCTCTCCTTCAATCCATATAGCCCTGTCCATTCGGCCTTTGAATCATATTTTATATTTCTTTCTATTCCTGCTCTATTTCAGATTCCATTCTCACCCAGCCTCGGAAGTATCTTCTTAAAATACAGATCATGTAAACCCATGGTCAAAAATTCTAAATAGTTTACCATTGTCATCATAATGAAGTCTAAATTCCTAATCAGGTGTTCAAGATTCTCCATTATCTAGTTTCCAACATAGCTTTCTAGACTTTTCTCCCCCTATGTTCTCATGCACCCATATTTACACTCTGGCCACAGTGAACTACTTACTCATCATTCCTAAGTTTATAGACACTTAGCTATTTCTGTTTCTTATGCTATTTTATCTTTCTGAAATGCCCTTAAAGCCCATTGCTGCCTACAGAAATCCCACCTGTCTATGGTGAAATGGGCACTTGCATACATTCCAGTGGAAGAATAAATTGTTACAATCCTTCTTGAAAGCAATTCGATAATATGAATCAAAACCTTTTTCAATGTTCACATTCTTTGTCCAATTTTTTCTCATTTCTTTGAATCTATATGAAGAAAATAATCCTAAATATGGGGAAAGCTTCATACCCAATTTATGTAAATTGTAGCATTCATTCTTCTTCTTTAATAGTGAAAACCAGGGCGCCTGGGTGACTCAGATGGTTGAGTGTCTGCCTTTGGCTAATACCTAATAGGGACAATATTAAACTATTACACACTCAAGCCCATGTATTAGAAATTATATTTACTCAGACTATTATTAATAACCTGATAAAATACTTATAATAGATTTTTTAAAATTTTTTTATTGTTATGTTAATCACCATACATTACATCATTAGTTTTGGATGTAGTGTTCCATGATTCATTGTTTGTGCATAACACCCAGTGCTGCACGCAGAACGTGCCCTCTTTAATACCCATCACCAGGCTAACCCATCCCCCCAACCCCCTCCCCTCTAGAACCCTCAGTTTGTTTTTCAGAGTCCATCGTCTCTCATGGTTGGTCTCCCCCTCCGATTTCCCCCCCTTCATTCTTCCCCTCCTGCTATCTTCTTCTTTTTTTTTCTTAACATATATTGCATTATTATAATAGATGTTTAAATGGAGAATACTGGGCCACCTGGGTGGCTCAGTCATTAAGCATTTGCCTTTGACTTAGGTCATGATCCCAGGGTCCTGGGATCGAGCCCCACATCAGGCTCCCTGCTTGGCAGGAGGCCTGCTTCTCCCTCTCCCACTCCCCCTGCTTATGTTCCTGCTCTCGCTGTGTCTCTCTCTGTCAAATAAATAAATAATGATCTTTACATAGTATACCCCTACAATCCACCTGAGAGGGACATTATCCAGCAACTTTTGCATGCATGAAGATGTTCACAATTTAAAACAATATAATCATTATGTATTTCCTCTGTTACTGGTGAAACATGGAACTGTTAGGGTTTTGGAAGATTTGATTTTTCTTCCTTTAAAAGGAAGAAGGAACCTTAGGCATCTGAAAGGCTAAATGAAGAAAGAAAGCATATTTGAAATCCAGACTTAGAATGTTGGTAATATAAAGGAAGTTGATTTATACCTTTTTTGGCAAGATGGAAAGTGCAGGTATGACTCAAGAAATCGAGCTACCACATGTTCAAAGTATACTGAACTTCCCTTTGGCAGTGAAGATGCCTTGAAGCCAGGCAGATCTTGGTTAGAATACTAGTTCCCTTGGGGCACCTGGGTGGCACAGTGAGCTAAGCTTCTGACTCTTGGTTTCGGCTCAGGTCATGATCTTAGGGTCATGCATTTGAGCTCTACATCAGGCTCCACACTCAGTGGGGAGTCTGCTTGAGATTCTTTCCTTCTCCCTCTCCCTCCCCATCTGCCCCTCCCACGTGCATGCATGCACTCTCTCACTTGCTCTTTCTCTCTCAAATAAATAAATAAATAAAATATTTAAATGTTCAGCAATAGATAAATAGATAAGGAAGATGGGATACACACACACACACACACACACACACACACACAATAGACTATTACTCAGCCATAGAAAAAGAATGAAATCTTGTCATTCATGACAACACGTATGAACCTAGCATAATGCTAAGTGAAATAAGTTAGATAAACAAATACCATATGATTTCACTTATATGTAGAATCTAAAAAATAGAACAAAACAGAAATAGCGTCCTAGATACAAGAAGCAAACTAGTGGTTACCAGAAGGGGAAGGGTTTGGGTAGATGGGAAAAATAGGTAAAAGGGGATTAACAGGTACAAACTTTCAGTTATAAAATAAATAGGTCATGGGGATATAATGTACAGTATAGAGAATATTGTCAATAATATTGTAATAACTTTGTATAGTGACAGGTGGTAACTAGACTTAGCATGAGGATCATTTATAATGTATAAAAATATCAAATCACTGCGAAATCATGCTTGAAACTAATAGGATATTGTATGTCAATTATGCTTTTTCTTTTTAAAAAGGGAGGAGTTTAATCTAATCTACAGATCAATGAGTAATGGAGGCCCGAAGTTATTGGGCATAGAATAATTTTAGCCTGGGGAAAAAAATTAAAAGCATTAACTATAAGCTAATGAGAACCTTAAATGTGAGTGACACACACTCCCCAAAAACTAAGAAAGCACCCAGAACACCTTTAAGCAATATCTGGTGAACTCTCTAAGATAAATAGTTGCAAAATTGATGGGTCTCTAGATAATGAGGTAAGTCAATGGAGCTGATGGATGGGAGACTGGAATGCCTCCTTTTCATCCATAAATGGATTAAATTAGTAAAATACAAGTTGGAAAAAAAGAACATATTCCATTTTCCCTCACTGAAAGCTACTGTCTGATCTTTCAGGAGATCCTGACTCTTAGAGTTAATGTTCTGCATTAAACTCATATGTACTGCCTCCTCTCCATGGAATCAGAGGCTGGAAAAGAGTTAAAAAAGGAAAAAGTTATAATCTAATGATTTTTCTTAGAGATTTCTCTACAAAGAGATTAGGAATGTACATATTGATTTATAACTCAAATAGGATATTTATTCCCACTACTCCACTGAAATCACTCTTGTCAAAATCAACAATCACCTCCATCTTGCCTCATTAAATAGTTGTCAGGTCTCATCTTCCTGCACTCTTAACATTTGATGTATGGTTACTCTCTACTTTCCAAAACACTTTGACTTTCAGGGGACCATACCCCCCTGATTTTCTTCCTACTTTACCTCTCAGTCTCCTGAGTTCTATAGTTCCTCTTATTCTTCCTCACTTTTATTTATTTTTTTTAAAGATTTTATTTATGTATTTATTTGACACACACACACACACACACACACACAGCGAGCAGGAACACAAGCAGGGGGAGTGGGAGAGGGAGAAGCAGGCTTCCCGTGGAGCAGGGAGCCCAATGCAGGGCTCGATCCCAGGACCCTGGGATCATGACCTGAGCAGAAGGCAGACACTTAACAACTGAGCCACCCAGGCGCCCCCTCACTTTTAAATACTATAATGCCTCAGGCCTCAATTTCTCTCTCTCTTTATACTCTTTTGATGATCTCATTTAGTGTCAGGGTTTTAAACAACAAGCAGATGATGACTCTCAACTTTACACCTTCAGCCCTATCTCTTTTCTGAACTCCAGACTCCATATCCAAAAGCCTACTATTTGACTTCTCCACCTGAGTATCTATAGGCCCCTTTAACTTAGCACGTCCAAAACAGACTCTTGACACCCTGCCCACTGCTCCAATTTTTCCCATCTCAGTGTATGCCAACAGCATTTACCCCAGGTCAAAATATTGGAACCATCCTTTCTTTCTTCGTTTGATACCTCACACCTAACCCATCAGCATATTCTGTCATTTCTATCATCATTAAATTTTCCCAAATCTTACCACTTCTCAATATCTCTACTGTTACTGCTCTAATTCAAGTCACCATCCATCTGTCTCTTGGTCTATTGCAATAGTCTCCTGACTGGTAGTTACTTCCCCTCTTTGTTTGTTTGCTATACAGTAGCCAGGATGATCTTTCTGAAGCATAAAGCAGATGATGTTACTCCTCCCCAAATGCTCTAATGGCTTTCCTTTACACACAGAACAAAATCCATGACCTATAAAGCCATGACAGTTTCTGGCCTCAGCCTGTATCGCCAACGACATTTCCCACTACATTCACCTGTCTCACTCAGCTCCAAGAACACTAGCTTTTTTTCAGTAACTTTTCTCAAGGTACACTTGCTATTTCTCACACATCAGGTTTATTCCAGCTCTTTTTCCAAATCTTTGCATCATTTGCACCTTCACTTACTGTCTTTGCTCAAATATTTCCTCAGGGAAGCATTCCCTAACTACTCCTTCTAAAATATAGCCCTGAGGGATGCGTGGGTGGCTCAGTTCGTTAAGCATCTTCCTTCAGCTCAGGTCATTGATACCAGGGTCCTGCGATCGAGTCCCGCATTGGGCTCCTTGCTCGGCAGGGAGCCTGCTCCCTCTCCCTGCCACTCCCCCTGCTTGTGGGTGTGCTCTCTCTCTCTCTCTGACAAATAAATAAATAAAGTCTTTAAAATAAATAAGTAAAATAAATAAATAAATAAAATGTAGCCCCAATTCCCAACATTCCATATCTCCTTACTCTGCTTTATTTTTCTTTATAGTACTTCTATTTTATCATATTATTTATTTGTTTATTGTATGTTTCCTATGTAGGCTTTGAAAAGACTTCGTCTATCTTGTTTGCCTAATGCCTAGAATAGTATCTGGCACAGCCTAGGAAGCTCAGAACTGCAGTTTATTACAAAAGAAACTGGCATACATTCTAGAAGGAATGTCTAACAAGTTAGTAGTCTACAATACGCAGGGAGAAGATAGGGTGGCCAACCATCTCACCATGTCAAATACTAATGGGTTTCCTAGGCCACAGGGCTTTTTTTTTTTTTTAAACCAGAATAGTCCCTGGCAAACTGGACTGTTGGTTACTCTAGAAAAAGGCTGTATTTTTTTTAAAGGGATTAGACTCTACTTGAGTCCAATCAAATGGACTCAGACTTGGATCATAACAAACATAGCCACCTCTACTTACTGAGTATTTACTACATATACAGACACTGTGCAAGTACTTTAAATACATTTTCTCACTTAATTTTTAAGGTAACCTCCGAGATATGCATTTTATCTCCATAATACAGAATAGGAAACTCATGATACTAACAGAGTTAAGAAACTTGCCTGCAGGTAAATGGTTTGAATGAAAGGGCTATAGAGCCAGTAACAATAAACAACTTGGTAAGGACTAGAATGAACATTTGGAGCAGACGTTGCATAGTTCTGAAGGAAAGAATTTGTCCTCATGTTTATTTAGCTTGAGATTTTTAATCAGTTTTATTCTTTAAGGGAGGGTTAGCAGGACTCAGTCAAAAAGAGGTTTGGGATTTCTACAAAGTTTGGGACAGTTGATCTTGGTTTATGAAGCTGGGAAGAGTAAGCTATCCAGATTCTGAATAGGACCTCACTGAGTTCATACTGTTAGTAATTAGAACTCAATTCAACTTTCGTTACCAGAACTTAGGTTCAAATTCAATTTGTCTAAAATTTTTTACCTACTTTTTAAAAAATTTTATTTTATTATGTTAATTACCATACATTACATCATTTTGTAGTGTTCCATGATTCATTGTTTGCATATAATACCCAATGCTCCATCCAATACGTGCCCTCTTTAATACCCATCACCAGGCTAACCCATCCCCCCAACCCCTTCTCCTCTAGAATCCTCAGTTTGTTTCTCAGAGTCCATAGTCTCTCATCGTTCATCTCCTCTGGAACAAATAATACATTATATGTTAAAAAAAAAAAAAGATAATAGGAAGGGAAAAATGAAGAGGGGGAAATCGGAGGGGGAGATTTACATACTTTTTTAAGGCAGTGAAATAATTACAAAGCAAGATATAGTAAGATATCGATTATATAAGATCCTGGATGTTCTGGTCTGAATTTCATCCCTCATGCTACCTCACTCACAGGAATAATGTAGGGTTAGGGATAGTATAAATGTTAGAGTAGGCCTTGGAGTAAAACAATCCTAGATTTGTGCCCTGGCTTCATAATTAACCATCTGAGCAAGCCATTTTACCACTTTGACCATTTTCCTTTTCAGTACAAAGAAGATACTACCCACCTCACAGGGTGGTAATAAAGTGAGGTAGTATATGTTAAGGTGCTTAGCACAGAGCTAAGTGCTCAATAAATGATGGCTATTAATATTAATAATAGCTTCACCAGAATTTATTATTATTGTCTTTGGATACTAAAAGAATACTGCATCCATTGATAAGAGGTAACAGTGGAGTTTGGATTTTATTCTAAAGATTTTGGGGAGGCATTAAAGGATTTTAAGCAGTGAAGTGGCAATAAATGAAAGGAAACAATAAAGAAGCCGTGAAAGAGTTTAAGAAGGAGTGAGCAGAGAGAGAAGGGAAAAAACAGGACACGTTATTATCTTAAGGCCAGGAGAGAAGTGGAGACAACCTCGTTAAGTGATAAGAGAAAAATAAGACCTGCGAAGTGTCCACTGTATGGCTGATACAGAGAATATTTCAGGCCCATTAGAGCACAGCCATTTTAAATGATGCTATTTGTCTGCTTTGCAATAAAGCAACATTTCTTAGTTTCTCCACCGCATGCAAAGACACAACCCACCTTTCCTTTGAGTCCTGAGCAAAAATTTGCAACGGCTTCCCTTTGCCTATGGAATTCAAACTACAGGCTCCTTAGCCTGTTGTTCTAAGCTCTTCACAACATAGCCCCAAACCAACTTTCTATCTTTTTTGTCTCCTACTACCCTAAAGACATCCAATTTTCCCTTCAACTAAATGTCTTGCTGTCCTCAGTAGGCATTTTCTCAAATTCATGCTTTTATTTGTATCCTAGTTATAGCACTTAATGAATTTGCTTCATAATTATTTGTATATCTGCAATTACAAAATCTCAGAGTCATAAGAAAACTTAAGAAAATATTTCTCTCACAAAAATCTTGTCAGTTTTTTCACTAGTCTGTGGCAAAATGAGACAAAAAGAATATTTTGGTGTATCCTTCATAAATATATAAATTTATTTGGCTCAAAGGACTATCCTTTAATTGGAGACTATGTCCTCTTAAGTTTTGTTTTGGTGTTGAGACATCCTTTCTTTTACAATATGATGGTGATATAAAGAGTATTTTTTTTTAATGTCTGTACTTGCTAATTTAAAAATTGGTAACTTTGGGGTGCCTGGGTGACTCAATCAGTTAAGCATCTGACTTGATTTTGGTCATGATCTCAGGGACATGGGATTAAATCCCACATTGCGCACCGTGCTCAGTGTGGAGTCTGCTTGAGATTCTCTCTCCCTCTCCCTCTGCCCCTGCCCCTATCCCTGCTCACTCGCTCTCTCTCTAAAAATCAATCAATAAAATCTTTAAAATACCTCTAAAATATTGATCTTTAAAATACCTGTAAAATATTGGTAACTTTATGTAAATTTGCAAAATTTTTTTAATTCTCAAAGTTCATAAAATAAAAAAGCGAGAGAACCATTGATCTCTTCTAACCCTTACCTGACCCACAAATTCCCTCTGCAACATCTCTAACAAGTTATACAAACCTCTGATTGAACACTTCCAGAGCCAGTGGAAGTGTTAGAAGCCACCTCCTCCTAAGATAGCATATTCCATTTTTTCACAGCTTTACCTATGAGAAAATCTTACCTCAGCTCCACTTCTAGGTCAAAAAGCTGTTTGAGAGCTGCACTTTTTATTGCTTACTTCAGAATTCCCTACTTTATGCCTTTTCCATGGTAGTCACTCAAAAATATTTCTTAATTGACATTCTCTAAAGGAATCTAAGTTTGACAAAAATTATAACCTATGATCCTGTAATGCAAAAACATCTAGCGATGGGGTCTTGGAAAGGACAATAACACCCTTTTCCTGCAGGAGGCATATTTACAAAGTAGGGGGATTAACGGTTTGGGATGGAATTTGTATTGTTTTCCTTAGGTATTAAGTCTATTCATCAATATAGCACTAAAGCTTTCCAGACTATCCTTTGAAAATTGCCTAAAAGCCCTGGGGAAATTATTATATTATTTTGTTCTAATTTTGTTTTATAGCTTTTCATATATAATCACTTTAGGAGAAAAACAATCTAGGAGATAAAAAGTTGATAATATGATTTGATTATATTCATTTGTAATTTTGTGTTATTTCTTTTTCTAAAGCTGGGGCCTCAACTTTGGTGAACAAGGATATATTCGGATGGCAAGAAATAGTGGAAATCACTGTGGGATTGCTAGTTATCCCTCTTACCCAGAAATCTAGAGGATCTCTTCATTTTATAACAAGTCCAAAAAAACGAAACACTTTCTCTTAACTTAATTTTACCTGCTATAACCTGTAGAAATAAGTATGTGTGGCCAGTGTATATTTACTGTACTAATAGAATATATTTTGACTCTTCTATTTTTTTTAGCTTTGCAGATATTGGAAAAATTTTGCTACATAAATTAATAATGCACTATAGATATACCTGTATGAGAACTGGTCAACTGAAGAAATCTGTCATGCTTGTTTTGTCACTCTTATTTTACATGCTTTGTCTTTTTAAGTTCCCGGATACCCTTTTGTAATATGATGGCATATAAATGCTTAATAAATATCTCTTTTCAACTTTGTATCATTACCACATACCATTCTTTTCTTATCCTTAGATAACTATTATAACCTATCATGAGGATGTAAATTATAGTATGCTGGTGAAGGGCTTTGGCAAATTTAATGGAGGAAACTACTAGGTTATTAATGTTGTGAGGGCTCAGATTATATCTTTGCACATTAAAGGATTAGATAATTTTTTTAAAGTAGGCAAATACTTAAGATGCAATCTGTTTTTAAGCACTTTAGAAGAATCATTTTAATGATCAACAATTAATATACTAATTATTAGCAATTTGGCCAAAACCTTTTGGGGGCAAATAATTAAGTCAACCTGAATAAAATAACCAAACTGCATCTCTTTTAAAATATTCCATTACTGGGGTACCTGGGTGGCTCAGTCAATAAATGCTGGGCGTGGAGACTACTTTAAAAAAAATTCCATTACTGATATTTTTATCTAATTCAGATTGAGCTTTGTCCCAACTGCTCTAGAATAGTAGACAGATTCTGAAGATGCAGTAAGAACTTTAAATTTTGGGGCGCCTAGTTGGCTGTCAGTTAAACCACCCACTCTTGATTTCCGCTCAGGTCATGATCACAGGGTTGTGAGATGGAGCTCCGCAACAGGCCCTATGCTGGGTATGGAGCCTGCTTAAGATTCTCTCTCTTTCCCTCTCCTTCTGCCCCTCCCCCTCTAAAAAAATAAATACATAAATTTTAATCAGTTCATGACTACGACATGAAAAATGTGTGGGATGATGTAATTAGTTGATCTTAAAATGAACTTAAACTAATTTGATTATCTTTGGTTCCCCCTCCATAAAGAACATTTTATTTTTTAAAAGATATTTATTTATCCATTTGAGAGGGAGGGCAAGTGTGCAAGCTGGGGGAGGGGAGGAAGGGAAGGGAAAGGAAGAGGGAAGGAATCCCAAGCCAACTCGGCACTGAGTATGGAGCCTGACGTGGAGCTCAATCTCACGACCCTGAGATCATGACCTGAGCCGAAACCAAGAGTCAGATGCTCAACCAACTGAGCCACCCAGGTGCCCCCATAAAGAACATTTTAAAGAACAAGAATTTCTAACTGTAAAAACATGAACATAATATATGACTACCATCAAAAGTGTAGAGAAACATTGTAATTAAAAAGTATTTAGTCAAGGAGTGCCTGGCTCGCTCAGTTCATAGAGCATGGGATTTTGATCTCAGGGTTGTGAGCTCAAGTCCCATGTTGGCCGTAGGGCTTACTTAAAAAAAAAGAAAAAGAAAAATGAAAGTATTTATTAAAAAAATATTTAATTGATCATTCTTTAGTTTTTATTTTGCCCACAATTTTTTAAGCACTGTAAATGGAGCAAAAACATAGGTGGGTTGGGCGCCTGGGTGGCTCAGTCAGTTAAGCGACTGCCTTCGGCTCAGGTCATGATCCTGGAGTCCCGGGATGGAGTCCCACATTGGGCTCCCTGCTCGGCAGGGAGTCTGCTTCTCCCTCTGACCCTCTTCCCTCTCGTGCTCTCTCTCTCTCATTCTCTCTCTCTCAAATAAATAAATAAAATCTTAAAAAAAAATAGGTGGGTTTTAACTTTTGTAAGTCTGATGAAGCCTATAAACACTTACTTAAAATAATGTTTTTAAATACATAAAATAAAATATATAGGAATACAAAGGAAAAAAACTTTATTGAAATACAGTTATTAAAATGTTAAAATATAGGGGCACCTGGGTGGCTCAGTTGGTTAGGTGTCTGCCTTCAGCTCAGGTTATGATCCCGGGGTCCTAGGATCAAGCACTGAGTCTGGCTCCCTGCTGAGCAGGGAGCCTGCTTCTCCCTCTCCCTCTGCCTGCCACTCCCTCTGCTTGTGCTCTCTCTCCCTCTCTCTCTGTCAAATAAATAAACAAAATCTTTTTAAAAAATGTTAAAATATATATCTGTGCCACAGTAATACATATGCTTCTTTATAACAAGAATTAATAACTATCTTAAATTTGAAGTAGTGATGAGTATAAATGATATTTGACAGGTATCTGCAGAAACTATAATGTTACATATAAAAAAATCTGACTTTTGGTGATAAATTTACAAGTATTGCTAATATTATTGTTTTATGGACTATATTCAGAATTGAAGGAAATGATAACTTTTAGTTAGAGGTTAGTGAAAATAAAGATGTAAATTTTTCCCATACAAATTCTCTGAATTCTATCCATGGACCCTGGATGCCAGGTGAAGAACCCTTGAACTAAATAAACAGAGTAATGAAATATTTAACAAAGATCTTTATTCTATGTGCAACATAAAGGGAAATATTTAGCAATAAGTAATTTCAAACTTATAGAAATAAATAGCTTTTTAAAAAAATTAAGTTTAAAGCAAAAAGGAAAAGAATAAACTTATTCTGGAACCTATATATAGGGATGATTTGAAGAAAATAAAAAGGATACTAGCTAGAAAGTACTACAGTAAGTACATATGTGAGGTGATATAAAACCTTGGACAACTTTAGCAGCTGTGAAAAAAGAAAAAGAAAACAAACAAGGAGCAAATTTGGAAGTCATTATAGAGTAAAAGTTGAGAAATCTTTTAACTGGACAATAAAGGTAAGGAAACAAGGATTTAAACATTGCAGAACTAGGAGTCCACTGGACAACACCACTATGAACATATAAGAAAAATATGAAGACAGAGATCATTTCCTTGAATAAAATTATTCTTTTTTTATTGTTCTAGATGAGAATCTTTTTTTTTTAAACATTTTACTTATTTATTTGACAGAGAAAAACACAGCGAGAGAGGGAACACAAGCAGGGGGAGTGGGGGAGGGAGAAGCAGGCTTCCCACCTAGCAGGGAGCCCGATGTGGGGCTCAATCCCAGGACCCTGGGATCATGACCTGAGCCGAAGGCAAATGCTTAACGACTGAGCCACCCAGGCGTCCCTCTAGATGAGAATCTTGATGATGCTTCAAATATTCACACTCTAAGTTACCAGAGAGACTATATAAATCAGAACAGGTCCATCTTTAAAAATGAAAGAAATCCTTAGAGGACATAACTACTCTGGGGCGCCTGGATGGCACAGTTGGTTAGGTGTCCAACTCTTGGTTTTGGCTATCTCAAGATCACCAGATTACCCGCCTCAGGCGCTCAGCAGAGTCTGCTTAAGAGTCTCTCCCTCTGGGCGCCTGGGTGGCTCAGTTGGTTGAGCGACTGCCTTTGGCTCGGGTCGTGATCCTGGAGTCCTGGGATGGAGTCCCACGTTGGGCTTCCGGCTTGGCGGGGAGCCTGCTTCTCCCTCTGACCCTCTCCCCTCTCATGCTGTTTCTCTCTCTCTCTCTCAAATAAATAAATAAAATCTTAAAAAAAAAAGAGTCTCTCCCTCTGTTCCTCCTCCACCCCCACACTCTTTCTCTCAAATAAATAAATAAATCTTTAAGAAAAAAAAGAAACATAAGGACTCAAGATGAATCAATGTATCTTTGCTGATGCCTGCCCCTTCCCCAACCTTCAATTCATTCTCCACCCAACAGCCGAAGTGATCATTTACAAATATAAATTTGAAAATATCTTTCCCAATTGTAAGCATTCAGTAGCTCCCATGACACCTGAAATAAAACACAAATTCCTTAACATTGACTATTAAATTCCGCATATCCTGGCTTTCCTATCTCATCTGGAGTCAGTTTTCCTCATTTGCTATACGCTAATCCCTACTGGCCTTCCTTCAGTTTTTGAAGCACTTCTTTTATTAGGACCTTTGCAAGTGTTGTTCTTTCTGCCCAGGATACTTTCCCGCCACACTCTTCCAATAACTTCTACTCAGCTTGTGGTTGTAACTCAAATGTCATTTCCTTAGAGAGGCCTTCCCTGACCCACCTTCTCCTGTAAATTGTTTCTTTTCCTTTGACTCTCATTGAATCCAGTGCTTTTCTTTCAAAACTTGTATCAAATTATAATTATATATGTATTTATATACTTATTTGTATAACATCTTTCTCCTTCATTAGATCATAGGCTGAACTAGGGCAGAAATCATGACTCTTGTTTACTTAGCACTTTGTACTTAGAACATAGCCCAGTGCCTACCTGAAAGTAGTCTGTCACCATTTATTGGTGCAAATTGAATGCAAATGAATGACCAGCACATTATAAGAGTTAGAAGTAAAACTATGTCCTAATAGTTCTTTCACAATAATGGAAATCTAACACTTGTAGAAACTATTTTAAAACTTCTATTAAAATTTAAAGGAACCCATCATTCAAAACTTTCTTTTCCTTCTTCCGTCTCTTTCCTACCCCTCCTAGGCCTATACTTTGATCTGGATTTTGCTCCTCTTCCTTTCTACTTCACTGAGATTGCTTTAATAAAACAGTAAGCTAAAATTTTATAGCTATCAGTTCCTGAGATTACTTACTTGTTTAATTTTTTTTTTTTAGTACAGCTAATATATTCACATGGCTCAAAAATCAAAAAGGATTGCAGGGGAGGAAAAAAAAATCTTTCTCCTACTACCCTCCTAGATTCTGTCGCAGGAGCTATGTAAATTGGACTGACAAAAGGTAGATTAACAATAGAAAACCATACATATTTAATATAAGTTTTACATGACACGGGAGCCTTCATAAGGAAATGAAGACCACAAGAAATAAACTTGACTTTTTATACTACATTTGATGAAGAATGGAAAGTCCTGGGGACAACCTGGGTGGTTCAGTCAGTTAAGTGTCTGCCTTCGGCTCAGGTCATGATCCCAGGATCCTGGCATCGAGCCCCATATCGGGCTCCCAGCTCAGTGCAGAGCCTGCTTCTCCCTCTCCCTCTGTTGCTCCCCCTCCTTGTGCTGTCTGTCAAATAAATAAATAAAATCTTAAAAAAAAAAGAAAAAGGCACAGCAATGCAAAAACATAAAAAAAAAATGTAAAAACATGGTACTAAATAGACCACAAAAAAAGACACTTGTTTACAATATGAGAGCTGAAACTAGAAGCTGAACATCATGTTGTTCAACCTCTGCTGGGAATGTGTATGTGTAGAAAGATGCAAATTTTTTTTGCCATTCTGCACATGTCTGCAAATGAATTCAAAAGCACTATATTGAATTGCTTTTATTTTTTTTAATTTAGCCTCCATTTATTTGAGATTGGCACCTTGTAAATATGTCACTTTTCATAATTGGGCTGTCAGAACTACCACTTGGGCTCACATAAATGGGCTGCTCTAATAGTTACCTACTGGCATTTTCTTTCTGCTCAGATATGTGCTGGCTTATTGGCCTGGAACTCTAATGTGTCCTCATGATATTGGGGGATTCCATGTCTTCCAGTAGAAGAGCTCCATTCCATGGATTTACTTTGTTATGGTTGAATTGCTTTTTAATTTGGAAGTTACAAATTAATTTTAGTAACTGGGCAAATTCACTTTTATGAAGTCTGTGAATAATGAAGATTGACTATATAAAACTGAAAAATTTCTATTCCACTCCTTTCCCCTAAAGGCTTAGATCCCTCCTCCTCAGAAGTAACCACTATTATGAGTTTCTTGTATATCTTTCTAGAATTTATTATGCATATACTGGTAACTTAAACATACATGTATGTTACTTTTTATCATTATCATTTTATCATTTTTATCATTAATAATTTTTTAAAAGATTTTTTATTTATTTATTTGACAGAAACACAGCGAGAGAGGGAACACAAGCAGCAGGAGGAGTGGGAGAGGGAGAAGCAGGCTTCCTGAGGAGCAGGGAGCCCAATGCGGGGCTCAATCCCAGGACCCTGGGATCATGACCTGAGCCGAAGGCAGACAGTTAACAACCGAGCCACCCAGGTGCCCCTTTTTTATCATTAATTTTGAAGGGGTCTGGACTATGCTCCAGTGACATAAGGATTATTTTGAACTGAAGAAATTTGAAAATCAATGACTGTAGGAAGAGGCTTTTCCTCCATTCCTTTTATTTTCTTAAAAGCAAAGCTTCTCAAAAGAATTCAGTTGGAGGCACCTGGGTGGCTCAGTCATTAAGCGTCTGCCTTCGGCTCAGGTCCTGATCCCAAGGTCCTGGAATCGAGCCCCGCATCGGGCTCCCTGCTTGGCGGGAAGCCTGCTTCTCCCTCTCCCACTCCCCCTACTTGTGTTCCCTCTCCCACTGTGTCTCTCTCTGTCAAATAAATAGATAAAATCTTAAAAAAAAAAAAAAAGAATTCAATTGTCCTGAATCCCCTCCCAAGGAGTTTCACAACAGGGGACGATTAACTCTTATTACCAAAGACAAGAAGTCAGCACAAGTCAGCCCCTGGATAAGAAAACACCTAAAGAGACATTGTCATAAAACTATCATATATCCCACCTATTCTCCTAAGGGCCCATTCATTTTTCCTACAAGTCATATGTTCTCTCATAAGTTCCCCTCTACTCCTCCCCTTCCCCTATTAAGATGGCTTATAAACTCCAAAATCTAACCACATCCTTGAGTCACGTTTCTTTGTGAATGCCTGTGCATATATACATACTTAAATTTGTTTTTCCCTCTTGCTAGTCTGTCTGTTGTGCATTTAAAATGCAGGCTCCCAAGTACAAAATCGAAAAGGATACAGGAAAAGATTTTCCTCCCCAACAATTTCAAACAGCAAATGACAAATTATACAAAAATCGATCCATAGTACATAGATATGTGTATTTGGGCAGTACTTGTGTAATATAACCAAGAATTTATCAATTTCTAGACAGTAAAAATGTTATGTTCTCTACAGTAAGTACCTAGTAGCTGTTATCAAACAATTCAGAGACACATTCAAAATGGTACTGTGATTAACACTATGCATAACTGAAGGCTGTTTGTTTTATAGTGAGTATCTGTAAAAGCCTAACATCCCATTCTCTTAACCAATTTTTTTTTTTAAGATTTTATTTATTTGTCAGAGAGAGCTGGAGCACAAGCAGGAGGAGGGGCAGGCAGAAGGAAAAGCTGAGCAAGGCAGGCAAGGGGAGAAGCTGAGCAAGGAGCCTGATGCGGGACTCAATCCCAGGACCCTGAGATCATGACCTGAGCCAAAGGCAGTTGCTTAACTGACTAAGCCACCCAGGCATCCCTTAACCAATTATTTTTAAAATCAGTAATACTTTTAAATCAATGATAATTATTTTAGCTGTTTCTTTTAGTATTTACCTTCAGGTTTCTAATATATTTGTATTGCTCTTTTTAATGGTATCTACTTACTATTATGGTAATTGATGCATCAACACCACCCGTTTCTCCACTCTCATCCTCAAAATATAGTCAGTGATATAGTTAGTTAAATCAGTAGTTACTGATTGTATTGAAGGAGTTCAGAACACAGCACCCAAAAACATGATGCTCCAGCATACTATTTTGAGTTAAAAGCACTTGAAAAATAGCAGCTGCAAGAAGGACATTCTGATTCTCCTTCCTTTTCTTAAAAGCAGGAGATAAAATTCCCATGTGAAAGATATCGTCCCTATTTCAGAAGGAAAGAGAAATTCATGTCACCAAAGGCATGAGGTCGAGGCCATGATAAATCTATACAAACAAACCTTGTTAACCTAACCCCTATCTTTCTAGTCACTCACTCATATAACTGCTCCAGCCTAGTCACATTTTCACAATTTATTATTCTTTGTCCAACTCAGTATATAAAGCATTCAACTCAATTGGGTCTTAACTTTTCTTGTGAAGACTCCCAAGTGCATGTAAAGAAGGTATAATTAAAATTTGTATGTTTTTCCTGTTAATCGGTTTTCTGTCAGTTAAATTCTTAGGTCCAGCCAGAGACCCTAAGAAACTAGAGGAGAAATTATTCATCCCCTACAGCATTATTCTGATTCTGTGATTCAAGAGGAACTATTTATTTTTTTGTTTTTTTGTTTGTTGTTAATAACTCAAAAGTAAATGTAATAAGAAGCACCGAATCATAAACCTAACGTGTCATTATTATGGTGTCGTCGCTCCCCCTCTGGCAAGGCTGAAATTGGTTGTGGTCTCAGGAAACCAAGTTTACCTGGATCTGTTTTGTCACCTCTAAAATAGGAGAAATACTTGTGTTTTCTTCCTAAGACAAAGGTCTTAGAAGAAGCAAAGTAGGAGTAAGATAGAATAAGATAGTGAATTTTAGCCCCTTGTAAACTTCAAGTGTGAAAGAACTATGAAGCAAAATAATCACTAGACCAGGGGATTTCACAATTTTTGACTGAAAACAAGGTTCTAGCCTTCATTCCTCTCCTGATTGACTCTGGGCAAATCTTTTCATACTGGGGTGGCTGTTTTCTAACGGGTAATGCAGACATATCAAAGTTAATGAATAATTATGATATGTTTACACTGCTAACACAATTTATTCGGATGTATAACAATTTGTAAACAGCTTGTACTCTTCAGCAATCTCCAACTACCGACCAACTCTGATTTTATTACTGCTTCTAAATGAGACATTAACTACACTCGAAGCTATCCACTGTCCCCACAGACAGCACAGTAGAAATATCTAAGTAGGAGACTGCCGGATCACCTGGTTTCCTGAAGACACAGGAGACTAAGGTGGGAATGAAATGCATTTGCGGCAGATCCAACAACAAAATCGAAAGTTAGAAAACAATCAGAAATTAACAGGATTAATTAAACGGCGGTTGAGAACACTTTAGTCACTGTAGGAAAGCTAAGTATTTCGGGAAGGCTTGGTACATGTAATTACTTAACCTTAGCCTGCTAGCAAACTGGCATATTTCTCTGGCTGAGGCTGGCTCTTCAGCCTCTCGGGATTCCCAGAGCGCCTCGCGCGGCTCTTGGCGGGAAAGCAACTGGAAGTCACAAGGCTGCTGCCGCGCCTTCAACAGCGACGGTTGAAGGAAAACGCCTGCGCATCAGGCGAAGCGCGTGCTGCGTGGTGCAGCTTTGGTGGTCGCTGGCGCCAGCCCTCAGAGGTTCCGTAATGTATATGTTTGTTTGTTTGTTTTCTTTCGTGTTTGTTTTTGGTTTTTTTTTGCTTTTTAATCTCATTTTCTAACACCTCCCAACTCCTTTTAAGTTTCTTAAAGTCTTAATGGTGAAACACACGGGGGGGAATGTAGACCTACTTATTTTTCACAAGAGGTTCTTGAGACGAGGTTAACTCTGGCGTCTGGTCCAGGCTTTGTCAGGATCAATTAAAACGTACAGCAAATCGTCTCTTATGGGACCTCTTCCAGTTGAATTGTCTGATTTAAGAAAAGTGAAACTGGGGACCAAAAAAATTGAAACACATGAAAATAACAGTTATAATCGAGAAATTGGAATCAGCCAAAATCTGGAATATTTTCTGTTCCTCTTTTATGGTTGTTCCACAGGGTAGGACAATATGTCATTATATCGAGAGCCATGCTGAAGTTCAGTGAAGGAACGTTACCGGATTCAGTCAAAACTACAAATTTAAAACAAAAATTTTAAGATTTTTTTTATTTTCTTTTTTTTAAGTTTTTTTTTCTTTTTAATTCATTTGAGAGAGAGAGCGAGCAAGAGAGCTCGCACATGAGAGCAGGAGCAGGCGGAGGGGCAGAGGGGGAAGGAGAAGCAGACTCTGCGCTGAGCAGGGAGTCAGAGGAGGGAGGGGCTTCATGACCTGAGCCTGAGTTGAAGGCAGACGCTTAACGGACTGAGCCACCCAGGCGCCCCAACAGTTGTTGGGTTGTTTTTTTTTAGGTATACATATATAAAAGATCTTTATTATAAGGAATTAGTCACACAATTAAAAGTTCCAAGATCTGCAGTTAGCAAGCTGGAGACTTAAGAAAGAGTTGAAGTTTCAGTTTGAGTCCAAAGGCAGGTAAAGACAGATGTCCCAGCATAGCAGTCAGGCAGAAGGGGTTCCTTCTTATTCAGGTTTTGTGTTTCATTCAGGTCTTCAATTAACTGGGTGAGGCATGTTCACACTAGGGAGGGTGATCTGCTTTGCTCAGTCCAGCAACTCAAATGTTCATCTCATCCACAGCACCCTCCCAGACACATCCAGAACAAAAATTTTAGATTATTTTAAAGAGTTTGGCAGGGGCAGTTTTCATTACCTGATACCTACCTAACTGTAGCAATATACTCAATGCTTGAATACTGTGATTTACTTATTTATGTAAAGTTTATTTATGAAATTCATGTAAAATTTATTTTCATTTATTTGCATAAAGTTCTTTCTGACTTTACATGGAATAAACTAGAATATTAGGGATAAAGATAAGATCTGAAGTTAAAGTTTGTGTTTGTGTCACAAGGTTGAATTAAAGAAAAGACTTTATCGGAAGATGGCCACTGCACAATTGCAAAGAACTTCCATGGTATGAGTTTGTGTACTTTACTGTATTTTAATTTAGCTAATTTTATTGTTTCTTGAAGTCTCAACTCTTTTTATATTCTGAAGTTAGAGTCAACTGTTTGAGGGTTTAATGAGATCAGGAAATTCCATACTTTAAGAACTGAAGATATTTACTAAACTCTTTATAGAGTCAGTGGAGAATTGTATTAGATATTTGATGCATTGCATTAAATAACTGGTTCATATTCAATTTTCATTAGGTGTTAATAAATGCTGTTCTGTTGCTTTGATGAAATTATCATTCTTAGCAGTCCATTCCTAGGAATGAATGTCCATTCCTCACAAAGATAAAATTCTCATCTTTTCACAGTTCTTGTGTTATAGTTACCTGTGTCAAACCTAGTCAGTAACTAAAGAGAAAAGAAGTGTTATCTATCATGTATTATGCACTTACAGTCAACCTTCAGGAGGGTTTTTAACATGATTCTTAACCACTTTTTGCATTTTACCTTTAGACTGCAACCCTCACATCTTAGAAGCCACCCTGACTTTCTGGGGATTACTAACCACTATGGTTAGGAATTTTTTTTTCTTTTATGGTTAGGATTCTTTGGGAAAGTATCATGCTTATGCAAAATTAGATCTACTCAAAGTTCAGGAAGATGTTATTTTTAATAAATCTAAATTTATTATTAAATAAATCTAAATTTATTATTAAATAAACTTAATTTTCCTTGAATTTAGAGTGCATTGGTGTTTCCCAATAAGATATCAACAGAGCAACAGTCTCTAGTGTTAGTGAAGAGGCTCCTAGCAGTTTCAGTATCCTGCATCACATATTTGAGAGGAATATTTCCGGAATGTGCTTATGGAACAAGATATCTAGATGGTAATGTCATGTTTATATTTTGTTTGTTTCAGTTTTTTTAATGTAATGTTTATTTTAAAACTTTCGTTAGAGGTGTCTGGGTGGCTCAGTGTGTTGTGTCCGACTTTTGATTTCAGCTCAGGTCTCAATCTCAGGGTCATGAGTTCAAGCCCATGTTGGGTTCCATGCTAGGCGTGGAGCCTATTTAAAAAACACACACACAAAACTCTTTCTTTAAACATGTTTTTATTTTGGCTTGCTTTAAAACTGTAATTTTTTGACCCAGCAATTGCACTACTAGGTATCTAGTAAAGATACCTAGTAGTATAGTAAAGATACCTAGTAGTAGTCCATAAAGATGGACTACTACTCAGCCATCAAAAAATGAAATCTTGCCATTTGCAATGACATGGATGGAACTAGAGGGTATTATGCTAAGTGAAATAATCAGAGGACAATTATCGTATGAACTTACTCATATGTGGAATTTAAGAAACAAAACAGAAGATCATAGGGGAAGAGAGGGAAAAATAAGACAAAATCAGAGAGTGAGACAAACCATAAGAGACTCTTAAATAGGAAACAAACTGAGGGTTGCTGGAAGGGAAGGGGTGAAGGACACTGAGAGCACATTGTGATGTAATGAGCACTGCATATTATATAGGACTGATGAATCACACTGAACTCTACCTCTGAAACTAATAATACACTATATATTAATTAATTAAATTTAAATTAAAAAATAAAATAAGTAAAAGGGGAAAAATAATAGATAAAACTGTAATTTTTGCTTAGAGATTTTTTTAAATAACAGTTTTATTAAGATATATTCACATACCTGACAATTCATGAATTTAAAGTGCACAGTTGAAAGATTTTTAGTATATTCAAATCGGTGTGCAACCATTACCACAGTCAATTTTAGAACATTTCATCAACCCATAAGAGAACTCCATACCCACTAAGTGATTCTCCACTTCTCCCACCTCCCCAGTCCTAGGCATCCACCAATCTGCACTCTGTCTCTATGGATTTGCCTATTCTGGACATTTCATATAAATGGAATCATACAATATGTGGTCCTTTGTGACCAGCTTCTCTCACTTAATGTTTTTAAGGTTCATCCATATGGTAACATGAATTAGTACTTCATTCTCTTTTATTGCTGAATAATATTCCATTAGATGGATATACCACATTTTATTTATTCCTTCATCAGTTGATGAACATTTGTTTCAGTTGTTTATGCATTTTAGCTATTACATATTTTTTCTTTCTTTTTTTTAATTTGAGAGAGAGGACCGATGAGCAGGAGCGGGGAGGGGCAGAGGGAGAGAATCTCAAGCAGACTCTGTGCTGAGCGTGGAGCCTGACGTGGAGCTTGATCTCACGACCCTGAGATCATGACCTGAGCCAAAATCAAGAGTCAGATGCTGAACCAACTGAGCCACCCAGGCGCTCCACCTTTTGGGCTATTATAAATAATGCCACTTTCATGTACAAGTTTTTGTGTGGACTAAGTGGTTTTTAAAAAGTATATTTAAGGGGTGCCTGGGTGGTGCAGTTGGTTCAGCATCCGAATCTTAGTTTCAGTTCAGGCCTGATCTCAGGGTCTTCAGATCGAGCCCTACATGGGGCTCAGCCATCAGCACAGAGTCTGCTTGAGTTTCTCTCTCCCTCTCCCTCTGCCCCTCCTCCCTGTGCACATGCTCTGTCTCTCACTGAAATAAATAAATAAATCAATAAATCTTTTTTTAAGTATATTTAATACCTTTGGAAGCACTTAATCATAAAATTTTTCCTCAGTTTCGCAAGTTTAATTTTACCTGAGATTACTCTTATATTGATGAACTAAGTAGATAAAAGCATTCTATTATTATTAGCTTTGTACACTGGTAGTATATGTTCTTGTGTTATTTTAAGGAAGTAAAATAATAAAGCCTATTTATACTACAGTAATAATTCATTACCCAGCCCATGGTATGTACCTAACTTTGTGAGCTAACTATATGCTGGGGCAATATGTTACGCTATGTTATGTATTCTATCTTGTTAATTCATATTACAGGTCTGTGGGTTAGATATTATATCTATTTTTCAGATAAGGAACCTGAGACAGAGATCTCAGTCCTTTCCATTGTGTTACCTGTTGCTTTCTTGCAGGTCTCTATCTCTGATAGCCAGTTAACTTCTTGGTCTTTTACAAGTATTTAATTGGAATAAGGGCCCATGCAAATACTCTAAGACTCTTGGATAATGATGGTGTGAAAGCATTATATCTAACTTTAAATATTTTATAATTTTTTAAAGATTTTATTTATTTATTTGACAGAGAGAGAGATAGCGAGAGCAGGAACACAAGCAGGCGTGGGAGAGGGAGAAGCAGGCTTCCCGCCGAGCAGGGAGCCTGATGTAGGGCTCGATCCCAGGACCCTGGGATCATGACCTGAGCCAAAGGCAGACGCTTAACGACTGAGCCACCCAGGCGCCCCAAACATTTTATAACTTTTAAAAAATAATTTTTTTCTACCCATCAACATGTATCTTAATCATTATGAAGCCATTTTATAGTAAGGATAAAAAGATTCTTTGTTTCCATAAAACCTTTCTTCTTTTAAATTATATTACTACCAATCATCTGGAAGTTCATTGCCATTTAATGATATATCTCTAATACACAGCTGAAGAAAATAATCTTCAGTTAAATTTCTAGTTGTTTACTAATCTTAAGCAACCCTATATTTATATCATTTTGGTGTTTAGATCTTTGTGTCAAAATTCTGAGAGAAGATAAAAACTGTCCAGGATCTACACAGTTAGTGAAGTGGTAAGTAAAAGAATACCTAATGATATTAAATTATTTTTTTCTTAAATAACATTTTTTTAATGTTACCAGACATTTTACCTCCTATCCCGAACCATCCTCTATCAACATTTTATATTTCTGCCACTATTTGTTTTGTTTTATTATTTTAAGCTGGTTAATAAGAAGGGAGCTTTGGGGAGCCCAGCTGGCTCAGTCAGTAGAGCATATGACTCTTTTTTTTTTTTAATTTTTATTTATTTATTCATGAGAGACAGAGAGAGAGAGAGGCAGAGGGAGAAGCAGGCGCCCAAGGAGCAGAGAGCCCGATGCGGGACTCGATCCCAGGACCCTGGGATCATGACCGGAGGTGAAGGCAGACGCTTAACCATCTGAGCCACCCAGGCGCCCGAGCATATGACTCTTGATCTTGATCTCAGGGTTGTAAGTTTGAGCCCCACATTGGGTGTAGAGATTACTTAAAAAAGATAAAATCTTAAAAAAAAAAAGAAGGGAGCTTTAATAAGAAAATTTTATATTCTTTAGTAATGAGATAACATGGAGACTTATTAAAAGAATTCTGGAAATGCATTCAGTCTAAAAATGAATCCTTTGTTATTTTTTAGGATGCTAGGATGCTATGATGCTTTACAAAAAAAATACGTAAGTCAATATCTCCTTATCTTTTTTCCTACAGTTTATACTCTACAAATGTAACAGCAATTCACACAAAGTAAAACATTAATTTAAACTAACTTGGGTATAGGCCAGTCCAAATTACTCAAAAGTTTGAACATTTGAATATTTTAAAGACTAATATTCAATCATTTTAAGCCAATAGAATTAATACTTAACAAATTTTGCCAAGCTAGTTTTAATTGTTAACATGTATTTGTTTTAGTAACACATACTAACTTCAAAAACTTAATGAATTAAAAAGTCTTTTAAAATACTTCATTTATTAGTTTCACATTCCTTCTACAATTTTGTTTATACTAATAATTTAATAAATTATTTCTTTGTGAGAGTTGAAAAGTAAATTTCTGTGTAGTCTAGGTTAAATTGTCACCAATTCTGAATAAGTGAAATTTCAATTAATAAGTGTTTACTGTAGACTGTAAGTGTTTTTATATATTTATGTTTATATCAGCATATATAAAGAAGTCAAGTTCTGAACAAAATTGTAAAAAAGATAAAATTTTATGCATGGTCACTAACTTCCCTTATTAAGGCATTAAATATTTAATACTAATTAAATATTGAGTGCCTGCTATGTGCTAGACACATATTCTAGGTAGGAGCTGGGTGAACTAACAGTGGTCAATGAGACAAAGAGGGTCCCTTCTGTAGTGGGAAAACAGTCAATAAAACAAGTAAATCAGATAATTTCCAATTACGTTAAATGCCAATAAAATACTGAGAGAAAGTGCGTCATAGGTGGAGAGGTGGGGTAACTTTAGATAGGGTGGTCCTGCGTAGGTTACATTTAAGCTGAGACTTGATTGAGAAGAAACCAGCCAGGCATTGACTTTGGGAGAGAGTATTTCTGGCAGAACAGCAAATACAAAGAGTTGAAGGGGAATTTAGAGTTCAAGAACAAAAAGAAGGCCAGTGTTAATGGGAATGGAATGCAATGAGCAGTAGGGGAGGGAGAATAGACCAGAGGAGCCTAAAGAGATAGGCAGGGCCAGAGCATTCAGGACTGTATAGGTAAGGAGTTTGAATTTTATTTTAAGTGCAAATAAAAGCCCCTTGAAGGTTTTAAGTAGAAATGTAACATCATTTGTTTTATATTTTAAATTAAAAATCACTCCGGCTGCTGTTAAGACAATATACAGTGGAAGGAGAATAAGATTGGAATCCAGGAGAATGGTGCTTAATCTGTTAATGCAGTACTGGTGAAAAATCACCAGTGCTTAGACCAGCATGGCAGAGAAGGAAAGAAATGAAAAGATTCAGGATCTATTTAGCAGTAAAACTGATTGGACTTGATAGATTGGTTGTAGAGTGTGAGGAAAAGATCCAAATCAAGGATGACTCAGATTTTTGGCAGATAACTTGAGTGGTTTATTTCCTGTGATTCTCTATTCCTATGGTCTCTAAAGCCTCTTCCCTTTATTTAAGGAGCAGAGTCCTGAACTCTACTTTTCTCTTTTCAAAATCAGTTCTTACATTGGTAAGGTTTAATATGTTATTTCACAATATATATTTTCCTTGTAACTGGCAGAAATGCCTGTATTTGCTTACGTCAATGTCATGAATGTCAACCTTCAGTAAGTCAACTAGAAAGAGATTTGGGGGAATAAGGAAGGACATCCAAGGTGGTGCTTTATATACATCATATTTTCTGCAAGATTATTTCTTATTAGGAATAAATGTTGAAATAAGACAAAGAATTCTTGTGATCCATCATGAAAAAATATTTTATAGAGTAAAAGTAAGATTTTTGTTCTTTGTTATATTTCAGCTAAGGATGGTTGTTCTAGCTGTAAGTATTTTTAAATTGTATGTTCTTTCTTAAAGACTTTCAAAGTCAGCCTTGCTTATTTAAATAACAGTAAAACCAGCAATTGATTATGTCATTTTACTCAAACAAATGATCTATTCAGTGGAAAAAAGTAACAAATTGATATTTTGGTGGGTCATTTTGTACTTTGTTTTTGCTGAATCCATTTAAAAGTTTAGTCTAAACATCCAATTTAGTTCTCCTTGAATACTTAGTCTTTTATAACTCAATTACAAATTATTTTTAAATAGGTATACACCAATCCAGAAGACCCTCAGGTAGGTGTGCTTAAGTTAGTAAAGAAACATAATATCTCTAATATCTAAATATAACATAAATTATAATATTTTATGCTTCTATTTTTTTCTTTTTTTTATCTTATGCTTTTAATTGTATTCACTTTCACATGTATTTTCACATTTGAACCTCATAAAGGCTTTTTTGAGGTAAGCCAAGGATTGTATTGTTATCTTTAAACAGATTAATATACTTACTGCCAGAGAGATTGTGTGACTGATCCTGGGCCACAAATCCAAAACCCCTTAGAAATAACCTTAATCTCCTGACTTCTGCTTCTATATAACGTTCTTTTTATAAAATTATGAAAGGGGTTGAGTTTGACAAAAAATAAGATTCTCATCCTTGAACTTTGAATATTCATCCCAATCCAGTCACGTCCACCTGTTCATCTGACAATTAAAGAAGGGATTACAAGAAGTGATAGGGAAAACCAATAACAAGAAACAAAGCAAAAAGATATTTGAGTACCTACTATTATTAGACTCTGTTCTTTGAGTTGTTTCATTTATTCATCATCATAAACTTCATAAGGTAACTACCATTATCATCTCCACTTTATAGGTAAGGAAACCTAGATACAAAGTTTCTTGCCTAAGATCACAGTGGCAGAACCAGAATTTGGACCTAAGGACGCCAGTCCATGATCTTGGTGCTTTAACCATGACACTATCCCTATTATAATATAGTTTTTCATTCAGTCATGGAGAAGCAGATTTTTTTAAAAAAGAGAGAGCTGATCCCCATTCCTGTGTGAGCACTGAAATGTAAAGAAAGCAATAAAAAAAGCTTCAAGAAGGCTAGCAATGTGTCTTCTCTTTGATACTCATGCCTGCAGTTAATGCTTAATATATGTCCATGGTGACAAAAAAAAAAATCTCATGGGCAAAAGCTGTGAATTAGTTGATTGTTCAGAAGCTAACTAATTGTTCAAAAAATATTCATTTAGTTTCAGATGTTTTATGTAGTTGAACATTTTTTCTTTCAGTAAAAGAGCAACCTTGTTGATTCACTAATATTTATTGATTGGTGTGCGAGGCACTATTTTAAGGGCTCTGTATAAATTATCCGATTTGTTAAATATTCACAACCACCAATGAGATAGGTACTATTTTCAACCCCTTTTATTAGCTGGGGAAACTAAACCTTAGAAGGCTTAAATAACTTGCTTCCGGTTATATACAGCAAGGATTTAAGCCCTGTGCTTAAAGCCATTCTGCTTGAGTAAGAGATAATACTGCCTCTCTTACCTGCCTGCTAAGGATTTCCTCCCCTCTGGTATATATGATATACATTACAATTAGTGGGAGAATATGTATCTCACTTAAGACTGAAGCCCCAAATCCCAAATCATGGGAATTTACTATTAGGACTTGAAAGTTTCAGTGGACCAATAAGGATTAACATGGCAGAAAAAACTATTAAATCAATGTTAAGAGTCATACAAAAGCTGTCTGTAGCTACTTGGTCACCAGTACTGTATATCAAATACATAACTGCAATGTTTTCTATTTAAGACAATTTCAGAATGTTACCAATTTAAATTCAAGTACTCTAGTAATGGACCAATCATGGACTTCATAAGGTATTTTATCATTTTCTTTTTGTATTACAGATTACCACTTATTCATATTAATACTATATTGCTAAACTTCAGGATTAATTCTTAAACTTCTCAAACATCCCCAATTAACCATTGAGGTGTGGCTGTACAAAATATCCTTCGTAGCTGCAAGCCCAGATTATGTGGCTAATTCTATACTATTTTAATGTGAAAGGAGCCAAAGAGTAGGAAAGCTATTGTATGCTTGAGTGATTAGAAATGTAATTAAAGTCCCTCATTCATTTCCTTTAAACATCTTATATAAAAGGCATATTAATTTAAATAAAATTATTAGTTTATAACATTATTAATAATGATATTAATTTTAATAATAGTGACATTAAAACATTTTATGGTAACTTTCAACTTAAAAACTTAATGGTATAATAGGAATAAGAATGTCAAATAGTAAAATGTGAAGTTGTTATCAGAAGCCATGGTGTCATAAAAGAAATTAATGTGTGATTCTCTTCTAGTAAAAACCAAAATAGTGAATCTAGTATGTCATCTGCTGACACCAAGAAAGCAAGTATTCTCCTCATTCGCAAGATTTATATTCTAATGCAAAATCTGGGACCTTTACCTAATGATGTTTGTTTGACCATGAAACTTTTTTACTACGATGAAGGTACTATTTATAATACATCCTGTTGGTACCTATATGTTTTATTATTGAAACAATTGGTTTTCATCCCAAATGATTTTAAGCACCTAAATTGTAATATATTTTTTGAAATTATAAAATTTCCATTAATATCAGTATTTGAAAAAGAAAGACTCAGGGGCTCCTGGGTGGCTCAGTCAGTTAAGTGTCTGCCTTTGGCTCAGGTCATGAACTCAGGGTCCTGGGACTGAGCCCCGCATCAGCCCGCCCCCCAGCGAGAAGTCTGCTTCTCCCTCTCCCTCTGCATGTCCCCACCATTCGTGTTCTCTCTCCCTCTCTCTATCCAATAAATAAAATCTTAAAAAAAGAGAAAAATTTGAAAAAATAGACTTTCAAATATACACAAACTTTTCCAGTGATATGAACATATCCATGTGAGGTACAACCTCACTAATAAAAGAAATGAAACAGTTGAGATGCCACTTTTCACCTACCGGAGCAGTAAAATTTGTAAACCAATTATTGGCAAGGGTGTGGGGAAAAGCAGGCACTTTTATAAATTCTTGAGGGAATGTATATAGGTGCAACATTTTTAGAAGACAATTTAGCAGTATCAAAATTTTAGATGCACATTCTCTTTAATTCAGAAATTCTATAGCTAGAAAAGTATCTTGAGAATATACTTAACACAAACATGCAACATTATAGGTTTATAAGGATACTATGCAAACTATTAAAAAGAATATGCTGATAATTTATCCAAGGAATATTAAAAATGGATTAAAAAGAAATGTTAAAAACAGCTAGGTGGGTATAGGGGCACCCGGGTGGCTAAGTCGGTTAAGCCTCTGACTCTTGATTTTGGCTCAAGTCATGATCTCAGAGTCATGAGATTGAGCCCCACTGGGCTCTGCACTCAGCACCAGTCTGCTTGTTCCTCTCCCTCTGCTCCTCCCCATCCCCAACCTCCCCACCCCCCACATGCACACACACACACACACACATATGCTCTGTCTCTCCCAAATAAATAAAATCTTAAAAAAAAACAGCTAGGTATTGAACAGTATGATCTTATTTGTGTTTTGTTAAGGATATACATATATATGAAATATATATTTTACATGTGTATTATCTTCTAGAAGTACATAAAGCAACAACAATAATAACAACTAACATTTATTGAATACTTAAAATGTTCCAGTTCTGGTCTGAGCATTTTACACACTTTAATTCATCTAACACCCACAATGACCCCATGGGGTAGGTACTATTATTATCCCCATTTCACAGATGAGAAAACCAAATCAAGGATGATAAATAATTTATTCAGGTTCATATAGTCAAATGAAAAAAAAAGGTTGCCTTTCTATACTATTTGAAATGTCTTCAATCTGTATTTATTATTATTGTTATTATGTTCTCTTCAATTTCATGATCACAGTTTATACTTACTTTTTGCAGTTACACCCCCAGATTACCAGCCTCCAGGTTTTAAGGATGGTGATTGTGAAGGAGTGATATTTGAAGGGGAGCCTATGTACTTAAATGTGGGAGAAGTCCCAACACCTTTTCACACCTTCAAAGTAAAAGTGACTACTGAGAAAGAACGAATGGAAAATATTGATTCAGCTATATTGTCTCCAAAACAATTAAAAACACCACTTCAAAAAATTCTCATGGACAAAGATGATGTAGATGATGAACAGGAGCATTATATAAGTGTCAGTACATTTTAAAGAGTTATAAAGTACAATAGTAACAAATGTTTGACTCAATTCTGAAGACTAATTCTAGTTCTCATTAATATTTATGTAAAAACTGTATTATAATCATAAACTCAAGGTTGGTAGGGACCTTAAAGAAAGTATCGGCTTTTCGTTTTAAAACTCTCTACCTTGGTACAAACATTATTATCAGAAATTTAAAAGCACAACTATTCTGAATGAAGCAGGGAATGGTCCTGGAGGCCCAGCCACTCACCACCTCAACTACCCTCATAGTGGACTCTAAGGAAACTCTGGTCTGGAGCATAATTTGAAAACCTACTCCAATCGCCCAGCTAATGTTGGAATCCTTTCTACCATACCCCTACTAGGTGCTCACTTTAGACCTGTGCTTGAACTTCCTTGGGGCCTGCAAAGTCACTGTCCTGAAGCAGCCTGGAAGTTCCCGGAAGGCAGGAAATGTGTCTCATCTTCGTAATCCTCCTGTGCCTAGCATTTAAGTGTACAGTGTGCATTCTCAGTATTGGTTGAATGGATGACTAGAAATATAAAAAAGTCTTTTTTTAATTGTTGCCTCCCAGGAAATCTTTCACATTAACATGATTGTTTTTTAATCTAATCTTTGTTGTTGTTCTGTTACCTCATTTTATTCTAAATTATAACCTCAGTACTTATGTATAGAGACTGACTTTTCTAATTTAGGTTTTGCCACATCCTAACAAATAGAAAATTCAGTTTTCAACCAGTTTAGTTGAAGAAGTCTTCTCAAAACCTAAATCCCGGTGATGGTTTATAAACAAATATAGCTGGGATTTATGTTGCATTCTTTAAAATATTTAAAGCTCTTTGACATATGTCACAAAGAGAAAAATAATTATAAAGTAGACCTTAAACTTCTTGCTATTTCTACCATACCATGACTGAGCTTTTTCTTCACAAACTCCCTGAAGAGGGTTGGGGCATTTTTTTATCCAGAGCATATGATAACATCTGTATAGCGATTCCGGAGATACAGAAGTAGTAGTTTTATGAACTTGTCTAATTCACTGCCCTCAAACAATAGTAAGAACTAAGGGTTCTTAGAACCATTATATATTTTTGAGAGAGTTGTGTATTTGTCCTTAAAGCAACCCTGCAAAGTAAAGTAGTAGTTTATATACTTTATTTGGATAAATATGGTACCTTGTTATGGTAATTATAGGACTTTATTTCTAGCAAGTGTAAGGTAGTTGTAGTGTTATGTTATATTTAACCTTCATGTAAAACACATTTGTTCATAAATACTTCTACCCAGTTGTTTTAATTGCTTTTTGAAATGTGTCCATTTTTTTCTTCATGTAATTATGTAGGATGATTTTGACATTGAAACTAAAATGGAAGAGCAGAAAAAAAACCCTGGATCTTCTGAACTTGGAGGTAAGAAATTGATGAAAACATAGATTAATTTACTTATAATTCAATTTTATGCCATTTTAACTCTTTTTTTTTTAACAGAACCAAGTTTAATTTGTGAGGAAGATGGAATTATGAGGTCTAAACAAAGTCTAGATCTTTCAATTTCTCATTCTCAGGTATAAATTTGATAATTCATCTCACTTTTAATTTTTTTCACAAGACTATGACATATGCTTATTTAGTTAATTTTCAGGTTTTATTATTATATTCAAGGTCTTTTAGAAGAAAATTAGGTCTTGGGGCGCCTGAGTGGCTCAGTCATTAAGCATCTGCCTTCGGCTCAGGTCATGATCCCAGGGTGCTGGGATCCAGCCTTGCATCGGGCTTCCTGCTCAGCGGGAAGCCTGCTTCTCCCACTCGCCCTGCTTGTGTTCCCTCTCTTGCTGTGTCTCTCTCTGTCAAATAAATAAATAAGATCTTTTAAAAAAGAAGAAGAAGAAGAAGAAAATTAGGTCTTAAGAATGCTTTTTAACAAAATTTGAAAAATATGTTGAAAGTTTTGAGTATATTACTGTGGGTTTATTTAGTAATAAACCTAAATACTGCTCATAGAATTTCAGAATTTCAGAGCTAGATAGAATCTTAAGCAATTATTCCACCACCTTTTGTATTTACAAATGGAGTATATAATACTTTTTGTTGCCTGGAGCAGGCACGATTAATTTCATTTTCCATAGACAATAAAATCTTGATATAACATTTAGATAAAAAGAACTTGAAAATAATGGGACTGATTATTGTCCACCTTCCTCTGCATTTCCCCTTTCTCTAGTTGGAGTGAGCTAAAGTTCTTATCTTCTGGAAGAGTAGTGTAGTGCCTGATGATCATTTGGGACTTTTTCAGTTCAGTGAATGATCAATTATATACAGTGTCAGTTTCATTATCTTTATCTTTGCCCTTTTTGTGACAGTAAGAACTACTTAAAATTAATGGTTTTCATTAACATAATAAGACCCTAGATTTTATCTTATTGAATTTTGGAGCCCCATTATTATGTTATGGAAAGTTTTTATTATGTTATGTGATTTTGTGTTATTATTTTCTAGGTTGAACAGTTAGTCAGTAAAACATCTGAACTTGATGTGTCTGAAAGTAAAACAAGAAGTGGAAAAATCTTTCAGAATAAAATGGTAAGTGTACCTTTAGATTTTTTTCCATTCTAACCGTATGATTTTTTCCTACATGTGAGTTTACTTGACTTCTTAATCCTTCCTTTATTGGACTAATATTTAGTAAGCACTTATTATGTGTCAGATATTTTACTGGGTGCTGGAGATATAACATGAATAACACATAGTTCCTGATCTTAGCTAAAAGTTTAGTAATTGGAAGTCAACAAGCAGTGATAGAGGGCCATGATAGCAGTTTGAATAGGCTACATGGAACAAAGGAAAGAATGGTGAATTTTATTGAAGGTACATAAAAGAGGAGAATTCAGGAAAGGCTTTGAGAAATGACACTATCCTCCAGACTCCCAAGGAATTGCCTAGAATGCCAAAATATTCTCATGTTCTGACTTGTTAATAAGACATTAAAAATGAATGTTTTGTATATATTTTGCATAAAATGAATCTCATGTTTTTAAGCAAAAAACCCACTGCTTTATTTTAGTTTTCTATTTTTCTAAATGGAAATTTGTATTTTATTTTAGACCTTTAAGTTACTCAGAGGTTCAGAGATGAAGAAAAACCATTCTGTAAAGTATTATATCTAAATTTAGGAAACAAATAGCACACTCTAACAGTGGTATAGGGGCATTTCTTCCCAACTCTTCATTCAGTGATGTCATGTTGGTAGCTTGAAGTTGGACATGATGAGAATATTCACATCATGGAAATCAGCAAATGCCTCAACTCAGGATTTGTTACTCCTAGAGAACTGGTTGTTAAACATTTACCAGCACACCAATGATTATAGTGCCATTTTTAGGTGCCCTTTTTTCCACGTTCAAGAGTCATATGCTCTTCCAACTGAGCTGGCCAGGTCCCCTTTTTCTACATTCTCCATAGGAAGTTTGAACTGGCAGAAGGCAGTATTCAAACTAGTATGCTGATGAAAGCAAGAGATAAAAGAATTTCAAAAATTAGTACAGCTTGCAGCAAAACGGTCTTCTAGGCAACTTCTACTTAGGATGAGTATCCTTTACTAGAATATGGCGAGAAAAGCAAGAATTAAAAAAAAAGTATTAGGAAGGATTTTCTTGTAATATGACATTAAGATACTTCGGGGACATAAATTCATTTCTGAAATTGCCCATGGTTTTGGATATGACCTCTCTGTCACAGTACTCCTGATTTTGAGAATCATAGCTGAATTATTGTTAGGAAAGGGCAAGAAATGAAAATATTTAACAGTATATACACTAAGAAAGTTATTGAAAAGTACATTTTCAGCATTGGAAAATAAGTATGTTCTTTTAGAGAATAGTAATATGACAGCTAATAATGTTTCATCATCCAATATTCATTTTAAAAACTGCATAGATAGCATTATTTACAATAGCCAAAAGGTGGAATAAACCTAAATATCCATCAACAGACACATGGCTATACAAATATAGTATATCTATACCATGGAATATTATTCAGCCATACAAGGAATGAAGTACTGATGTATGCTTCAACCTGGATAAACCTTGAAATCATGCTAAATGAAAGAAACCAGTTACAAAAGTCCACATATTATATGATTCTATTTATCTGAAAGTCCAGAAAAGAGATTTCTATAGAGAGAGAAAGTCTTAGAGCTAGTGGGAGAAGGGGGGAATTGGGAAGTGATAGCTTTACTCTACATTCAGAGAACCCAGGTATCCTATCTTAGTAGGAAATAGTTATACTAGGTGTAATTTTCAAAAAAAAGAGAATGAAGAAAGGGAACAAATCAACCTCAGGGTTTCTTTTTGGAGTGATGAAAGTGTTCTAAAATTGACTACAATGATGTTGCACAACTCTGAATATATTTAAAATTTTTGAACTGTAAAATTATAAATAAATGAATTGTATGGCATCTGAATTATATCTCAGGAAAGCTTTTAAAAAAAAAACTGCATATAGTTGCCCATAGTTAAAAAATCAAGTGTTGGTTGTTCTTTGAGAAATAATCAATTAGTAATTATTCCATCTTTGTGGAGGCTAATGGAAATCAACCAGTAAAATCTTCTAAAGAAAATCGGAAGAGAAGTCAACTCGAACCTGGGAAAACAGTAAGTTTTATGATAATATATAGGTTATATAATTCAATTGCCATTGAATAAAACGGCAAGTATCAGACTATCATTACTATAGATTAAATTTTATTTTTATTTATTTATTTATTTTTAATTTATTTTTTTTGGAAAGGGAGAGCAGGGAGGAAGGTCAGAAGGAGAGGGAAAGAGAAAGAGAAAGAATCTTAAGCAGGCTCCATGCCCAGTGCAGAGCCTGACTCAATTTCACAACCCTGAGATCTGACCTGAGCCGAAGTCAAGAGTTGGATGCTTAACGGACTAAGCCACCCAGGCGCCCCTAGATTAAATTTTAAATGATAAATATGATAATATCCCTGGATATTACCTCAAAGTACTGATATCCAAATCTTGTTTATATGTAATTGGTTCTAAAACATGAGGTGATTTTAAAATAAGATGTGCTATGTTAATTAAGTTTTTCCACATAAATATTTACTGATTTCATGAATGATTCAAGTAGTTGGAGAAATTTATAAAAAAATAAAATCGGTACATCCAGAAAAATATGAGTAGAATGAGAAAATGAGAGTATAAGAATATTTAGGCCATTTTATTTACATAGAGCTGAAGTTGGGCCACAAATCTGATCTGAGCTTCCTAGAGAACAAAAGTGAAGTATAAATAAGTTACCAAATAAACTTGTTCCCTAAAAAATAACATCTCCTCTTAGTACCTTAGGAGAAAAAAATTTTCTTGACCTAAATTTTTTTAACAGTTGTTTCATATTTGGGACCTTATTTTACCCAATCAGATCATGTATTTGTCATTTCTGAGATAAATATTTATATTTTTCAACTAGAATTTTTAGTATTATTAGTAGGTTAACATTTAGACAACTGAATATCTAAGACTGCTTTAAAAATCAAATGTTAAAGGGGTAATCTCAAAAATATAGTTAATATCATTTTCAATTTACATAACTTAAGGGGATTAAATAACTGATACTTCATTAATATATTAAGTTGTCTAACTTTTCCCAGTGTATTAAGCTTTGATTTTTTTCCCCAAAATCATTCAATTTGTATCATTAGTGAGTTCAGAAAAAATGAAAGTTGAGTAACTCAGGGAATACTTTTAGGAATTTTCTTTTTTTTTTAAGGTTTTATTTATTTATTTGACAGAGAGAGAGAGAGAGACAGCACAAGCAGAGAGAATGTGGGAGAGGGAGAAGCAGGTTCCCCACTGAGCAGGGAGCCCAATGTGGGGCTCGATCCCAGGATCCTGGGATCATGACCTGAGCAGAAGGCAGACGATTAACAGACTGAGCCACCCAAGCACCCCAGGAATTTTCTTTATTTGTTCTCCCATTCATTCAAAAGTGTGCAGTGAATGTCTAATATCTGTCAGGCACTGCTAAGTACCAGGGATACAAAAGGAATACATGATTTAAATCTTACATGGTGCCAAGGTAGAATATTTCTCTATCTGCAGCTCATTTAAAAATCTTTTTTCCGGGGCACCTGGGTGGCTCAGTCGTTAAGCGTCTGCTTCAGCTCAGGTCATGATCCCAGAGTCCTGGAATCGAGCCCCGCTTCGGGCTCTCTGCTCGGTGGAGAGCCTGCTTCTCCCTCTCCCACTCCCCCTGCCTGTGTTCCCTCTCTCGCTGTGTCTCTCTGTCAAGTAAATAAAAATAAAATCTTTAAAAAAAATAAAAATAAAAATCTTTTTTCCTTCTTATCCCCCAAAAATATTTTACTATTTTGAGGGCATAATGTTAGATCTATGTTTTTGACTTCTCCAACAACCCTAATGAAGACCTTACACTTTATAAATATATACTTTCAGCAGCCACCAGAAGATATATCAGTAATAAAATTTACCCTACTTTTTAAAGAACTCAGGTATCCTATCTTAGTAGGAAATAGTTACACTACATATAATTTTAAAAAGAAAGGGAAGGAAGGAACAAACCAACAAATCTCAGAAACATAAAAAAAAAAATCTAAAAGTAAAGACATGTAAACTGGAAAGTATCCTTAGCAGTTGTTTTCTTTTGACAGGTCCTTCATCACTTTGATTCTTCTAGTCAAGAGTCAGTGCCAAAAAGAAGAAAGTTTAGTGAACCAAGGGAGCGTATATAAAAATTATTTTTTTCTTCTGCACGTTTGCGAAGTATTCAACATTTAAACTACAGTACACTGTATTACTATTTTAACGTGTATTTGCCCTTCCTGTGAAAATTTATATGTAATCTTAAGCAGTTAGTACAGTAAAATGAATTTTTAGCTGTCATATATTGTGATCCTTAGTCTTATCTGAGACAATGCAAGAGAACTTTTGAATAAAACCAAAAGTACCAGTGTCATAATTGATTTTGCTCATTATCTACTCAATATTGATCTATCTTCCATTTTGGTGGATACTTCCTTTAAACATATATTAACTTTTAAGGCCCTCTAGAGCCAATTTTAAAAACAAATAATGTTTATTTTGTTATTAAATTTTGGTAGGAATTTACTTTTTACTTATGTTAAAACTATAACACTTAACTGGCTGTTTGTCCTGGTGTCATTAAAACAATGTTCTTCGGTACTTTGATAGAGTATATTAACATAGTAATACAGAACATACCATTAAAAATTGGTAATGGTCATATTTTATATATGTCACTGTGTGTCTGGATTTACTATGTTGGGCGCAACTGCCAAAAGAACTGGCGTAAGTGGCAACAGAATACTCTAGAAGAACAAGGAATTGAGACAATGACTCGGGTCAGAGCTTGGAGACCTTCTCAGCTGCATACTTCTGGAGCCAGGTGGTAGAACTGGGAACAAGGCTGGCATCTGACAGGAGGATTTTGTAAAGGCAGAGGCAAAATAAGGGGCTGACAAGGAAGGGAGGAGGAGATAAAAAATTACTATTCTGGGACAACATTTTCTACTTCCTATCCGTTTGAGTGACTTAAGTAAAATTTAGTTGTGCTTTTTTTTTTTTAATCTTTTAAAACTTTTTTTTTTACTTCAAGGCAAAATGAGGACTGATTTTTAAGGTCTGGCATTTTGGGCAGCATAAATAAAATATTGTTCAGCATCTAGACTATTCCATGGCTTCTAATTTTTATTTAATTAGCAGAAAGTGTTTAGGTACTAATTTTGAGATCATTTTGGTAGATGATACTTTGCAAGAGTTAAGCACACTTCCCAGAACTTTGAGTGGTAGTGTGAAAGATACTGTGCGTTTAGTGAGAAACATGGGATCTGGTTTCAGCTTTGACCATTTCCTTTGCCTTAAAAAAGGAAGACTTAAAACTTGGTCTGTTTGCTTCTTGCAGTTTTAGCAGCCATATTATAAAACATAAGATTATCCATAGGTTTGCCAGTAACAAGCGCTAATATAGAAGGTTCGTGTGTATGTAATGGTAGAAATGTACCTATCCTGTTTAATGTAAACCAAATAAACGTCCACAAACTGACCCAGATCAGGTTTTTTTCTGAAACAGGAAAGTTAGGGACAAGCTAATTGTCGAAAACAACCAATTTTTAAAAATGTTTATTTATTCTTAGCTTTTTTGGATCCCAGCACATCTCACCTAATTGTCCTAAAATACACTACTACAGTTAACACACCTGCTACAGAGATTGACCAACAAAAACCTTTGTAGATCAGCAGCTTGTGCTCGCTCACTGAACGCTTTGATTGGCCGGTTTAATGGGGGTGGGGAGCACAGCTCCCTTTCCTCTCTTCTACCAAGGTTACTTCATTGGATTGACCAGCTGTCAGGTTGACCCAAACCTGCCTCCTTTTGGTGGTGTTTGTCGGGATCGCAACACAATAGCCCGAGGAGAGCCTCCCCTTGTAAGCCCCGATTGGCTGGACTCAACCTTGGCGGTTTCTGATTGGTCCAATGAAGAAACACCAAGGTAGGTTGCCTAGGGATTCTGAGGAAGCTGATGTGTTATTCCTTCTCTGCATCGAAGGATCAGGAAGTTTGTGCTCTCTGCGTGGCTGAGAAGTTTTTTTACCTACTAGGACGGGGTTGGGGGAGGGACGTGGGGGAACAGGTGTCCCCCTAAAATAGAGCGCAAGCTGCTGCCTGTGTCCAGCCGTAACCCAGGAGTAACGTCAGGTAAGCAACGGAGGATATACATTTCCTAATGTCCAAAAAAAGCCTTCAGATTTTTTATTTTATGGGGAGAGGGAGGTTCTTATTTAGTTACTTTTTGGTCATTTTTTTTTTCCAAAGAGGATTTTTAACTAGTAAATGTCCAGGGGGTATTAGTTCCTCAAAATCTACCCCCCCCTTTTTTTTTCTCTGAAGACTTTAAAGTTTCTTGGATTGGCTTAGGAAGTAAACCCTGTTTACAGTGCCAGATAGGGTTAATGCCCTTAAGCATTATTTCATGGTTGTTTTTTTTCTCCTTCACACTTCTTCCCGCCTCCCACCAAGAATTGTATTTGAAATATAGCCTTGTACAAAGAATCTTTTGTAAGTCGCTTCACTTGTATTTCTATTTAAAAATGTTCACATGCATTTCTGAGTATTCATTTTAATCAGTATATATTTATTGAGCAGTTACAACGCTAAAGACATTGTGCTAGTTGCTATGGAGACTATAAAAACCCAAGAAGACACTATCCCTGCCCTCAAGAAGTTTACAGTTGAGAGACAGCCATACCAAAAGAAAGACTATAATAAATACTATAAAGGATGTAAGTATAAATAAAGTTCTGTGAAAGTACAGCTGAGAGAGAGACCGTTTCTGGCCATGGGACATAAGGGTAATGGAGAAGGGGATTCACTTAAGGCTTTACCTGGATCCTCGATAGGCCTTTGAAGAATGGGTAGAATATAAAGAGGAAAGGAAAGGGGAGAGAGCACCAGCATGTACAAAGGAGCTGAAATGGCAGCATGGGACATGTTTGAGAAATGGTTTGTTAACAGTACATAATTGAGAGTAATGAATGGGAAATATTGCTAGAACAGGATCCAATCACAGAGGCTCTTGAATGCATTCTTTTGATCTTGAAAAAGATATTCTTTTAAATAATTACTGATTAAAATATTTATTGTATATCATCTTAAAAACTGGCATTTAGATGTATTTTAAAATAAAGTATGCTAACTTTAAACTTTATCATACATGATTTAGTGCCATTTCTCTTGACTAAATTTTTTAAAACATTTGTAGTACATAGTGTAAAAGGGCATGTGCTTTGATTTTTTCTTTTTTGCAATTGAGAAAGAAATTTTTAATCTTTTAACATTCTCTTGCTGATACTTTTTGTTGGCAGCTATTTGACTATTTGCAATATGGCTAGCTAGGGATAGAGATGAAAGTTTTCTGTCCATATGGAATTACTACACATGATCTTCTGAGTGTTATACTCTGTAGATGTGATTTCCAAAGGGAGTGCGTGAGATGAGTTATTATGAGAAGAAAATCTGAGAATATATATATTTAGTTTTTCTTATTTTTTTACTTTCTCTGTTTTTTATATTTTATGTGCCATTGAATGTTTATATAAGTTACATATAAATTATTAAATGCATTTTGGGCCTGGATTCTCACAATTTTTTGCTGTCCCATATTATTTAACTTGGGGAGGATCCATTTTGTGAAAAAGGAATTACAATGATGCATATATACTCCTGGATTATAGATTATGCACACAAAATCAGCAGGCTTAAGAGATGATCATTTCTTTAAAAAAAAAAAAAAGAAAGATCATTTGTACTGGTCTTTAAGGTTACTGATTTGATTTTCTGTCAATGCCTTCTGTGCCTTCAAGCTATTGTACTTTGGAAAACATATTGTGTTATCCGCCTAATTTTTCTGGTTATTACCCCTTTCTTTCTCTGTTTAAGTTTATGTATATATTTCATATTTGTATACATTTGTGGTAGGTCTGTATGAATATGTATGTTTTTGTTTACATATGCTCACTTACAGATATTTTTTTTCATCACCCCCTCCAGAAACAGGTGAGAATGACCACTTTAACTCACCGGGCCCGTCGCACTGAAGTAGGCAAGAACTCTGAAAAGAAAGTGGAAAGTGAGGAAGACACTAATCAAGACAGGAGTCCAGACCATGAAGACTTTAGTGACTCTAAGGATATTCGCCTCACCCTTATGGAAGAAGTATTGCTCCTGGGACTAAAAGATAAAGAGGTAACACAGTTGGGTTTGCTAAGACTCTCCCAAAGACTCTTGAATATTGGAATGTTTTTAGGAAGTAATCTGACAGAATGTTTTCATTAATGCTAAGTTGCCCTTAGAACTGTGCTCTAGCTATCTGGGGGTTGGGGGAGTTTGGGAGGGTGGCTGATGCTTGGAGGATAAAATCCAGAAGTATAATTACTTGAAGTGTAATTTAATTACAAAATTCCTCCAAAATTTTAGAAGATACGAGAGAGTATAACACATGTAAAATTTCTGTACTTTAGTTTCCCAACTGAGACTGATGGTGAAGTAGCCTCCTGTTAAACTAAGAAAGAGGGCCCACACATTGAAATTCTCTTGAACTATGACGAGGAAAATCTTTTAAATGACAAGACAAGAAACATGTATGATTAGCTGTTTTACAAAAATAAACAGTGGATAGGTTTCAACTTAACAATGCAGTAGAAATCTTTTTTTTAATTCATTTCTGTGGATCTTTAGAAATTAAATATCAACTGATAAAGGAATATTTTAATTTTAGAAAATGTTTTTAAATTAATTGCAGATTTCTCTTAAGTTTTCCCTTATTAATAGAACACTTTCTTATGGTATAACCACATATTTGTTGGTTTTTCTACTGTAGTACATTATCCTTCATTTGTAATTTAACTTTTTATTATTTTACTTTCTTCCCTCATGAAGAGGTTATGAAGAAATATAACTTATTTTTAAAAACCTACTTCTTTTCCAAGAAAGCCTTTAGTACATACAATAATAATAATAATAACACATTTATTATTTGCCTTGGTTTTGAAAACTTAACAAATTAAAATGTTACTTTACATTAAAAAAGACTAAATTTGGCTTTGATAATTATCCTTAGCTAGTAATGAATTGGCTACATTCATCTGGTAACATCTGTTCTTTTCTGCATTGAATCCCATTGATAATTTGGGATTATCCTTGTTTCTTAGACTTTACATTTTCTTTACCACTTTACCTTCTCTGTTTTTGGTCACATCAAATTACTGACTTGAACAAAACTTACAGGACTTCTTACAGCCTGTGTATTGTTAAAATTAATATTAAATCTAATATTAGAGACATGCATATATGTACTTGGCCAAGACATAGATATATCAGAAAATCTTGCCCGCAAGTGTAGTTTCCTGTTTGCTGAGAAAGTTGATGAAGTTCTAGTTTTATGAAAATCAAGCAAATAAAAATGCGCAACTGACTCTCCAAGAGAATATCGGAGTAGGTCTGAAGATTAGGTGGTATAAATACCATTTTGAGATGTTTACACAGTGCTTAGGAAATGTTCACTGACTGTAGAAGAGCATATTAGAACTAAAAAGCTATTTGGTTTGTTTTACTTTTGAATAGGAGTGATTAATTTCCTGCTGACCCTAGATACTAGAATTTTTGCTTCTGTTTTGTAGGGAATCTAACTTTGGACTTCTCTTCGTGTGTTTTTTTTAATTTATAATAGTTAATATAAATATAGGAAAATAGAATATAAAAATAAAGGAGCTCTGGTGAGATACTATACAAAGATGAACAGATAATTAAGCTTTTGAATAATTACCTTTTGAATTCTAATACTATTTTTATTTTTTTATTTTTTTATTTTTTAAGATATTTATTTGACACAGAGAGACAGCGAGAGAAGGAACACAAGCAGGGGGAGCTGGAGAGGGAGAAGCGGGCTCCTGGCCTAGCAGGGAGCCTGATGCGGGGCTCAATCCCAGGACCCTGGGATCATGACCTGAGCCGAAGGCAGATGCTTAACAACTGAGCCACCCAGGCGCCCCTGTTCTAATTTTATTTTTGAAAATAGTTGATAAATTACATTTTTAGCTTTCATTTGGCTCAGGAAGAAAAAGAAATGATAAATTCTTGGGTGTAAATAAATAGAAGAGGTCAAACCTTCTGATTTATTAAAGCAGTAGTGCTGTTCCAAAATGCCAATTATATAACTATCTCTAAAAATACTAATTAATGGGGCACCTGGGTGGCTCAGTCAGTTAAGCCTCTGCGTTTGGCTCAAGTCATGATCCCAGGGTCCTGGGATTTCACCCCGCATTGGGCCCCCTGCTCAGCAGGGAGTCTGGTTCTCCCTCTGCCCCTCCCCCACTCATATTCTCTCTCTCTCTCTCTCTCTCTCTCTCTCACTATCTGTCAAATAACTAAAATCTTTTTTAAAAATATTGATTTCCAGCACTAATTATTTTCTTCTCACCTCCTAAATTACTCAGATTTATTTAATCATTATTTAGTGTGATTGGGGGCACCCATTATGGTGCTTAGCATTACACAAATACTAAAGTAAATGTAAAACAGTATTAATATATGGTCCCTGCCCTCATGAAGCTTGCATTGTAGCTGGGGAGACAAGGCATACATACTTTTTTTATTTTTTTTTAAAGATTTTATTTACTTACTCATGAAAGACAAGAGAGAGGCAGAGGGAGAAGCAGGCTTCCAAGGAGCAGGGAGCCTGATGCGGGACTCAATCCCCTGGGATCATGATCTGAGCCGAAGGGAGATGCTTAACCATCTTAGCCACCCAGGCGCCCAGGCATACATACTTTTTTAAAAGTTAAGTAACCCAAAGGTCCATCAGCTGTGGAAGGGATAAAAATGGATTGTCCATTTATCTAAATGAGTATAAACATCTTTTCTATACAGAATGAAAATGAACATTGTTACAAAACATGTATGAGTCTCATGTAATATTCAGTGACGGAAGCCAGACACAAAAGACATACTGTATGATTCCATGTATATAAAATTCAGAAAAACTATAGTGTTGGGGTTGCATATTTAGGTGATTAAAACTATAAAGAAAAGCAAGAAAGAGATTACCATAGTTGTTAAGCATAGGGTTGAGAGAGGAGGAAGGTATTAGTGATTAGAAAAGAACATGAGGGGGCTTTCTGGGTACTAACAGTTTTCTGTTTTTGTACTTGGGGAAAGTGTCATGTATATTCACTTAGAGATAAATCATTGAGCTTTTTTTACTTTTGCTTCATGCACTCTTCTGTGTGTGCATTATATTTCACAGTTCAAAAGATTTCTAAAGCGATAAACAACAGTAAAAATCCAACGAGTTTTTCCATGTTAGAACAGTAAGAGCCAAGAGAGTTGGAAGGAAGAGAGAATATAATGGGTTGGAATAATCTGGGGAAGAATAGAAGGCAGTAAAACAAGCTGGGCCTTTAAGAACAGGTAGGATTGGGGTGCCTGGGTGGCTCAGTCGTTAAGCGTCTGCCTTCGGCTCAGGTCATGATCCCAGGGTCCTGGGATCGAGCCCCGCATCGGGCTCCCTGCTCTGCAGGAAGCCTGCTTCTCCCTCTCCCACTCCCCCTGCTTGTGTTCCCTCTCTTGCTGTTTCTCTCTCTGTCAAATAAATAAATAAATCTTAAAAAAAAAAAAGAACAGGTAGGATTAACATAAATGGAGTGAAGGAAACACATTCTGGATGAGGGAACCTGAAATTATCATGAGCTTGATGAGTTTGGGACATAATTAAGTAACCACTGACTGAAGTGGGTGGTATTCTTGGAGAACAATGAGAGTCAAAATTGGCAAATTAGATTCAGACTAGAGTGTGGCAGATTTTGAGTGCCAGGCAGAGACTTTTAGACTATTTATTTTTATTTTAATTCCAGTATAGTTAACATACAGTATTATATTAGTTTCAGGTGTACAGTATAGTGATTGAACAATTCTACACATTACTCAGTGCTCACGACGATAAGTGTACTCTAATTCTTTTGACCTATTTCACCCATCCTCCCACCCACGTCCCCTCATAATGATCAATTTTTTCTCTATAGTTATAGATTCTTTCCTTTAAGTAGGGGGATCAGCCTAATGAAAACAGCAAAGCCCATTTCATTTTTCTGTCCAAAAAAGGACTTAATGATATTTTTGCTCTATGTTCTTTGTGTATATATGTTTTAATATGTATATAATTTCTTGTTTTCACATGGCTTGAGGTTTGTGACGTGTCAAAAAAATCTTGTGTTAAGCTTTGCATCCCAAAGTCCCAAAGTTAATTTTTGCTGAAGATTTCCATAACATTCTTTGTTTAGAACCCAATACTATAATTTTTTAAATTATATCTATTTTAAGAAACATGCGGTGCCTGGATGGCTCAGTTGGTTAAGCATCTGCCTTCAGGTCATGATCCCAGGGTGCTGGGATCAAGCCCCATGTCAGGCTCTGCACTCAGCAGGAAGTCTGCTTGAGATTCTGTCCCTTTCCCTCTGCTTGTGCACATTCTCTCTAAAATAAATCTTAAAAAAAAGTAGAAAATAATATAAAGAAACTAATATTTCAAGAATTGTAGGCCTAGAAAAGAATGACAGTAAGTCATGTATAGTCAAATCACTTGTGAAATATTACTACCATCCCTTTCTTAAGATTCTTCTGAGGAGGGGCGCTTGGGTGGCTCAGTCGGTTAAGCATCTGCCTTCGGCTCAGGTCATGGTCCCAGGGTCCTGGGATCAAGCCCTGTGTCCGGCTCCCTGCTCCACAGGGAGTCTGCTTCTCCCTCTGCCCCTCCCCACTGGTCATGCTCTTTCTTGCTCTCTCTCGAATAAATAAATAAAATCTTAAAAAAAAAAGATTCCTCTGAGGGATAGCTGCAATAGAATGAATGTTTTTGGTTTTTTTTTTCTTAAGATTATTTATATGGGACGCCTGGGTGGCTCGGTCGGTTAAGCGTCTGCCTTCAGCTCAGGTCATGATCCCAGGGGTCCTGGGATTAAGTCCTGCATCGGGCTCCTTGCTCAGCAGGGAGCCTGCTTCTCCCTCTCCCTTCCGCTTCTGCTGCTTATGCTCTTTCTCTCTGTCTGACAAATAAATAAAGTCTTAAAAAAAAAAAATTATTTATTTGAGAGAGAGAGAGACAGAGTGCAAGAGCCAGGGGAGGAACAGAGGGAGAGGAACTAGCAGATTCTGCACTGAGTCCAGAGCCAGAAGCCTGAAGTGGGGCTTGA